CTCATACGACAAATCCACCCCGCACACCGCTTTCCCAAATTGGAGTTGAAACCCCTCTTCGAATGGTACCCCAATGAGATGCTCATGAATACCCCTAGAAATCCATCTCGAGTAAATTTGTCGCATCAGGCCATTTGCACGTAATGGCCATGAAAACAAACTCAACGCCAATGCGCCCATAAAACTCCCGTGGAACCACACCGGGAAACTTGAAGTGATCATACTCGGATAATGGTATACCAGAAGAAATGTCATGTGTTGCATGCATGTGGAAAGATTCTTCGACTTTGGTGTAGGGTGCGAGGAGGAGGTGCGTTGTGAGGCATGTTAGTGTTGTTAAATCGTAGAGGGCATCTTGCTTTGTGTAGGGCATGTCGTTGGGATGATGAGATTGGTCGTTGGCCGCGTTGAGGTTATTGGTAGTGCGGCTTGTACGGATTGGGTAAGCGATCTTTCATGTCGATGTCAACATAGTGTAGAGGTGACAGAAACTGGCACTAGCTACTACACCAGGGAATGAACCAGCGTAAACTGGCTCGGAAAAGCTAACTAACTGAACTACTAGGCAAATTATACACGCAATATGTAACGGCTATTCTAAATCGGATAATTGCCCACCACCACACCCGTTCCTACTGGGCCTTGATCCGGAACTCTTGATCGACATTGAAGCCAGAGTCTTCGCAAGAGAGTTAATATCGTCAGGGAGACTCGCAAGCCGGAGGATTTTCAGTAACGAAGGCTTGGAGACTAAACAAGTGCAAGTCAGCCAGATGACAGAAATGACAGAAATGCCATCGGTACATACCAACCAAGCTCAACAAATGTGGCAGCATAATAGCAGTTTTGTTCACGGATCCAATTGGTTGCTGCTGGTTCTGATCGCTGTTGCTGTCGGGTGGACGAGGTCCTCGGCACCACATCTGCATTCTCATGATTGGACCGAGTCGCGATGAGAGTTGCGCAGATGCTTTGAGAGTCGAGGATGGGTAAAGAGGAAAGAGGAAAGAGGGAGCAGGTCCCCTTTTATAGACCTTTGGCATGCGCCTCACCGCAGTTTAAAAGAAAAAACATTACATTAGCATGCCACCGCAGTTTGGAGAACATTAGCATGCCTCAACCGCTTTGAGCGATGGGGGGTTCTGATTATGCGATATGATTAACCGGATTAATCCGGATAATATTGGCACTACAGCATTCACGTGATGCTCTGCCAATCTATACCCCAGTGTACTGTATAATAGACTAGAATTCTAGACCACCACATGACTCACGTGATGCTCGATCTTTATCTGCACATGCTGTACAATCACCTCCACACTATGGATTTCTTTTCAAAATTCCACATTGCAAAATATAAAAGCCAAGAAAGCGATCAATAGGTATGCCTTGTTCCGTATATTTTGGAGAATAACGTTTCATTAACATGAATGTTTCTGGAAATGTATAAACACCTCATGACACTCGTAATGGATAACACATTTGGATTTACATGGATATCAGTCATCCCAAAACGTTGAATCACAACTCAAATTCGTCAATGGCAACGTATATATCCATATGCGTATTCTTGCATGTCACTATTCAAAAGTGCAAGAAAGAGGATATCGCAAACTGACAATCATATTTGGGTCGAAAAAAGGATTTCTAGTGCAGATGTAAAGGTTGGCCTGGTACTAGGTTCCAAAGCCCAACACATTGTCATCAACTGCGCCTTGAAAAGCAAAACCACAATCCATAAGCACCACACACATACGCAGCGTCTCCACCAAAACTAGATCACTCACCAAATTCCCCGGCACATACCCCGGAATTCCCGGCCTCGCATTCTCCAACAAAACCCTGATACCAATATGCATAGAATTCATATCCTCATAAGGCCAGCCCCTAGTAGCAATCTCATGCAACATGATTCCAAAAGCATATACATCAACAGCTTTTCGATTTATGGTTGGGTCGTACCCGCGTAGGATTTCGGGGGCTAGCCATTCGGCGTTGGAGAGGTAGCGGTTTGATTGGGTTGCGCGGGGGTTGTAGATTGGGGAGGTTAGGCCGTAGTCGGTTAGTTTGACTGTTCCGTCGTCCATAAGCTGGTTTTTTGTAATGTTAGATTTTGTTTTTGGTGGAAGTAGGTAAACTTGGCTTTTCTATGTACCATGACGTTTTGGGATTTGAGATTCCCGTGCAGGATTGGTGGATCTTGTTCATGAAGGAACGCCATACCTAATCTCCCAGCAAACCAAATCAAGAATAAATAAATAGATCAAGGTACCGCACTCTCTACTCCCAGACACACAAACACATCACGCTCACCTACCTCGACACACACCAACAGCCATCCCCATCGCAACCTCAGGACTCATATCCACACTCGCATCATGCAAAAAAGTCCACGCATCACCATAAGGAACAACCTCAGTCAACACCCCAATATTAGGCGGAACAACACAAGCCCCCAAAATAACAAGTAAATTCGGGTGAAATAGTTTTCGTAGAGTAGCGAGTTCGGATTTAAGTGTATTTAGATCGTCGGGTGTGATATTTGTTTGGTCTTGTGGGGTTTTGATGATGACGTCGTAGTTGTTCCAGCGGCCTCGGCGGGTTAGAAAGTGGCGGGATCGGGAGAGGGGGGTTGGTGCTATTTGTACGGATGTTGCGGTGATTTCCCAGTCTACTCCGCCTGAAACGCAGAAAAAACAAAAAACTTGGTTTAAAAAGTGACTTCAACTAGCTTTTGTTGCTCACTGCTTTGCAACAAAAAACCATGCCCAGTGAGTGCACTTTCTTACCTTTCGCCAAAAACCGTTGCTTGGCCTCTTCTTTCGCCTGTGCAAACGTCCTAGCTACACACAACAACATTCAATCTCCCAATAAACAAACCACGCACACAACAACGCCGTACCATTAGCCTGCACCGTCCTCGCCACAGCCGCCTCCGCCTTCAACACCTCCTTAATCTCCTCACTGGTCCTCAAAAGCGGTGTCCGCTGATACTTGTTCTTGACAGCTACATGTGCACCTGCTTCTTGAGCCAAGTACACTGCAACTTGTTTGTGTCGCCAGAAACATGCGTAGTGGAGTGCGGTGTTGCCGTGGTCGTTTGCGTGGTTGACTATGAAGAGGGCATTTTTGTTAGGTTTTGCTTTTAGTTTTCGAACCACGAAGGAGGATTGTGATGTACCGTTTGCACCCCGCGCTACAAGCTACAAAAGCATCAAATAAAAAAAAAAACATACATTACAAAAACCGCAAAAACGATAATCACAAACGATTCAATGATTCACCTTTTTAACAACCCCCAACATCCCCTTCGAAGCCGCCAATATCAACGCCGTATCCCCAGCAACATTTAGCGCATCCACTTCCACATTCCCGTGTGCGAGTGCCCAATCTACAATCGATTCGTGTCCTATTTGGCCGTATCCATCAGAGATGAGTTACTCTTCGTTGGATTGGATAGGCTTGGAAAAGGGAATGTACCAGTTTTTGCGTACCGTATTTACAAGCAATATGCAATACAGTGTTTTCCTGTAAATCTCTATTCCAAAAAAAACCGGTATAGTACCCAAATCCTTTTCATTGTCCTCCCAAAACTTGAACAAGGATAATATCATACCGTTCTGCAGCGAGTTCACTTGCAGTCTCGGGATCGTTCACATGCGCTTGGATGCCTTCTAAATCCCCTGCTTTGGCCTTGTCGTGTATAACACCCATAGAAAAAGTATTGGTCCCAGAAGGGCGACAGAAATCGTAAGGCAACCAGAGTTCCTGCAAACCCTCCGCAGATCTGGTGATTACGTGAGTGTGTCATGTGATTGAACTGTTCAAGGACGAAAGGCGAGCTTGAGCAGAAGGATTGCTGATCTCTTTATTGCATTCCTTTTATTTTTGGAGATTTGCTGCTTTATTGGTACGATGGGAGACTTGAAGGATTACCTCAAAAAGTACATGTCGTCCAACGCGGACGGCATTACGAAAAAAAAGCGAAAAAAGCGCCCACAACCTACGTCGGGGGGTACGACGCAAATCATTGACGAAGAAGTCGACTGGGCTGTCTCCAATCAAAAAGACGATGACGAGGATGCTCCTGTTATTGTTGACCCTGAAGCTGAGGACGGGGGGAACACTAAACCCATGTTCAGGAGCGATGCATGGCAGACGATCCGAGAAGGGGAGAGAAGGTCTCCGTCACCTTCCCCGCCGCCTACACGAAAAAGGGCATCACCATCCCCCTCGCCACCAATACACAGAAAACGTCGAAGATCCCCATCACCAACTCCACCCCCTCCCACGAAATCCCATAAACCAAATTCCCCACCCCGCCTCTCAGATGGTCGTAGAGCAGGCCTCCAAACCGGAGCAGCCATCCGGCAGGACGCCCAAGAACGTGAAATGGCCCGCCAAAAAGCTCTGTCAAATCTGACACCCTCACAAACCGGTCAACACGCCCAAACAGTGTACAGAGACAAACACGGCAAAAAAGTCGATCTGGCTGCCCAGAAAGCCGAATTGGCTGCCATGCGACGTCAACGGGAGGCACAAGAAGAAAAGGACATGGTATGGGGTAAAGGCGTCGTACAACAACGTGAAGCAGAACAAGATGCCAAACGTCTTGAAATGGAACAAGATCGTCCGTTAGCTGTCTATGTTGATGATGTGGAACGGAACAAGGAGCTCATGGACCGAGATCGATGGGGTGACCCCATGGCATTTATGACTGCCAAGAAAAAGAAAAAGGACAAGGACCGCCCTGTCTACCGTGGTCCACCGCCTCCACCCAACAGATTTGGTATCCCACCTGGGTATAGATGGGATGGCGTGGACCGGTCCAATGGATTCGAGACACGGTACTTTCAAGCAAAGAATCAACGCAGTGCGATTCAACTTGAGGCGTACAAGTGGTCGACAGAGGTAAAAAAAAACCCCCAAACAAAACATACTTTTATATTCTATACTTACGCATTTTCCATTATAGGATATGTAAAAAAAATAACGGTCCAATATCCACTTTGTACATACCACTCCACCACCGTTAACCAGTAGTCACCCTGTATGTCGGTTATAGTGCATTACCTCAATTAAGGGCGCACAGTCACTGCACACATCTTTCCAGTCACGCTAAGCCCGTGGTTCCATCTCAGTTGCAGTGTGCCATAAATGGGTGACTAGTTAATGGTGGTGGAGTGGTATGTACTGTACTCCTCATCATACAACCCGAGTCGAGGTGTTTAATGCTTAAAAATGTTGAAAAAAACAGGCGGGGTATTTTGTATGCATCGGATAATAATTTCTGAAAATGTACTCTAATGACATACCCAGCAAAAATCGTACAGTACATCGGGCATGTGGCAATGGTTCGAATGCATACATACAGCATGTGCAGATAAAGATCGTGCATCACGTGAGTCATGTGGTGGTGGACGCGGTATCTTATAATACAATAGAAAATGTCCCAGCCCCGTGATCTGTTCCTTGATGTGCTGTCACATGACCCTGCTGTGATCTTGCATCGCAAATCTCACTTTCTGTTGCTCTATCTGCTTGATTTGTCTCATCAGGATTAGAGCATCTTTTTGCCACAATATACTGAACGTCATTCCAAATTACTGTCCCCTTATGGCTGTTAACTGTATAGTAATTACCAAGGCCAGTGGTCTTCTTTTGCCGCCAGGAATTGAGCCCCAAGTTGTATCTTGCAGTAGTTTGAAAATACAGAGTGAAAGTAAAGACCTTTTACCGGGATATATACATCATATGGTAAATAGAGAGTGCTTCCGTAATGTAGCTGTATTTGCTTTCTGTCTCATTATTTTTTGAGGTCTGTCAAGTGCGTTGCACGCACGAGCTCACACACTAGTTAGAATAGACTAGAATGCTAGACCATCACATGACTCACGTGATGCACGATCTTTATCTGCACATGCTGTACTGTACGAGCAACTGAGTGGGCAGATTAAAGACTGGCTATATATGTTAACTAGTGTGAACACATGCATGCAACACACCTGACAGAAGACTTGATAAATACAAAAGATGCAGTTTATTATTATTTATTTCCTATGCAAGGATAGTTGAAATCTAACCAGTGCTCAGCTCGTCTGGTGATTACGTCGATACTAGTTGTGTAATATGGACGCATCTGGTCATGTGGCATCACGTCATGACTTGTACTGTACGTTATATTTAGATATCGCATCCCATGCTTGAATGCACTCCTCGGGATGCAGGTGGTAGTACCTTTACGCTCTCGTTCTCGATTACATAAGGTAGGAGATGCATCAATGTGGCGCAAAAAAGAAGGAGGTGTCTCTTACCCCTTGCATCATTTAAAAGCAAAACCTGTGTCGTATCCCCCCTTCTGTTCTGGTTCTAGCATCTCAGGCTCCACCGCTTCTTACGATGTCGGAATCGCTTAATATTCCTGTGGTGCCCTATTGGAAGGATTGGGTTAAGCGCGGTGGAACGTGGGAAGACTGGAAAGCCAAACTGCAGTCCGTGAGAGCCGAGCTTGCTGTCTGGGAAAGTCGCACCGACCTCGATCGTTCGTCCAAACGATCAGTACAAAAAAGAAAGATTGCTTGGGAAAAAGCAAATGCTGTGGTACGTGCGTTGATCTGTTTACGTGTCCTTCAGTTCCTAATATCTATCCCTTTCAAGAATCACATTGACTGGGCCAAAGCAGATGATCGACAAGTTCAAAACACGCGCCTTCTCCTCGAAACTCAGAGATATTCACTTCCCTCCTTCGCCAGCACATACAATACGACTGCACAAGGTGTCTTTTTTCCTTTGGAGGAGCGAAAGAGGTCAGCTACGCCGCCATCCCAAACCCAAGACTTCAAGCGTCCCCGTCTGCTTCCTGGCACCGAAGACAGTGATGACGATGATAGCGATGACGTACTTGAAACGGATACGGATGAACAAGACATGGAGATTCCGGGATTGGAGAAAGTCCTCAAAGGATCAGATATCACTCTCCCAAATGATGTGCGTTTTTTTTTCCATCTTGGTGCTGAATGATCTGCAACTGATTGATAAACTCTATCATCAGTTAACCATCTCCAATGTCAACTGTGCACGTCTGATTCGGCTAGTAATGCGTGATATTTTGTTGGATCAGCAAAAGCCAGTGCATGATCGCACCTTCGCCAAGAATGATTGCGTGAAAATAGTGTAAGAATTTGTGTTGGAGTGGATTCGCCGATATATGATTCTAACCCTCCTTTCTAGTTCTTTAAAAAGAGGAATCCTACTCACAAAGCGTCTGCCGGAGGCATATGCGCCATACATTACATGTCAAGAGTGGTCACAAGTGTATCAGAGCATGGCCCCCGATACATTTTGGGATGTCATTGCTCAGTCTCCAAGCACGTCCATAGTTGATGCAGTACATGAATTCGAGACGAGCAAAATAAATGAGGAAGATTCAGAGACCTGTAGTATCCCACCGTTCAGCGGTTTAGCCAGGGACGAAGCAGTCGCGTTGCAAGCCCTGTGAGTATAGTTGATTTCGCTGCAGATTGTCGCGATGGAGATGGAATAACAGTCTTCTTTCCATAGCTATTCTCATGTTGATATGGATGCACCCGAGCCTGAACATGAGGCATCGTTCACTTCAAAGTACGTCATGCCCCACTTTAATAGACTTAAACAAAAGAGATGGAAAATGTTGCTGTAAGTCCACTAGCATCTCCTTTCAGTATGTCTCCTCATCATGAACCTGGTACGGCTTCCTACTAGCGACACTACTATGGTAGATCGCCTCCGTCCAGACATTACCATAAAGGCTGGTTCCCGACCTGTACTATTGGTTGAGCTAAAGGCACCGTACGCGGCGAGCAGCAAACGCAATCTTCAATTGGGGGAAGGATTGACACGAGGATTGCAGTTTCTGAAGTCCGATCTAGTGGAATACGATTGGGAAAGTCAAAATCCCCAAATCTATACTGCTATCGCTCCTGGTGAGTATATATTTTGATTACATGAAAATTTATCTATTCTAAAGGCATGTCATCTGTTCACTTAGATGGAGTTAATTTTCAGATTTACTCTATCCAAATCCGGGAGCAAATCTGTTTCTTTGTACAGCTGGGGAAAATCCCTATCGTAACATGTCTGGACAATATCGCCAACCTACCGCGTGCTTTAGTCGGCTTCACTCATTTGAGGAGTATAGTTGCCAGACACGTAGAGAATATTCGAAGTCAGAGCAAACGGAACGTATTCCATCCCCCGCCTGAAGCTCACACGACACCGGATAAAAGTCGGCTGTTGGAAAACTTGCGCACAGTATATCCGTCAGCAATCACACCAGACAAATTAGTGGCAAAAAGAAGAGGTAGTGCTACATGAACTTATTAGTTGAATCATTTATTTATTAGTATATATTACATGTAAGTCTACTCCACTTTTCTATTCTACTCTACTTATTACCGGACAAAAATGTGTAATGTAGTAGAATAAATATGGACAACAATGTGTTATGTAGTAGAATATTTAGAAGTTTCGTTTGAAATAACCATCAGACGCGCCTTGCAGCTTGTGCCAACACGCAGAGATCACGATGACCATCCCTTCACCCATTCCCCTCCTCACGACCGCCCAAGAACTCTTACAAAGCGGACTAGCATCCTCTGCAGAACTCCTCGTACGTACGATCTCATTTGCATACCCTGCGTTTCATTTCTGACACCTATTTGCATTTAGTTGGGTTACGTCCTCTCCGTTCTCCCCCCACCAACAACATCGGATGTACATGCCCACGCACAAGATTTGCTGGGAGATTGTCTAGTGGAATCGAAAGAGTTTCCTCGTGCCCTGGTACGTAACCTTCATTGCGTATGATAACGCAAGCATCTCATTGGTTTTCGTAGAAATGCTACGAGTCTGCTGTCCGGTGCTTTGAATCCCAAGAAAATGTGTGGAGAGTGCGGGAAAAGGTTGCCGGATGTTTAGTTGCATGTGGGGATGTCATTGGCGGGATTGATGAGGTATGTTTTCTGCAAATGGTTGGGGTTTTTTATGGGTGTGTGGAGTAATTAATGATGATTTTGTGTGTAGATGGAGCGGATTCCAAAAGATGTTGTGAGTATCAAGGGGTTGAGGCTCTTGGCGGGGTGGTATGAGACGGTTTTTCGAATTGAGTAAGTCATGTATTCTTTTCACGACTTTGGATGATATTAACGAATTCCCGTGTTTTTTTTACTATAGGCAGGCGCGAGATACGTACCTCCTGATCCTCCAGTAAGTTTCGCATCTGCCAAAACATGCCGACCAACATGCTTACAGTTTATTAGAAAGCAGCCTCTTGCGACGGAAGCCGTGTTGGGTGCCATCAAGTGTGGTGCGGAACCGAGTACCATGCATCTCCCGCCTTGGGTTACATCATATGTTGAGGGATATGCGCAGATACAGGGGTATAAATACAAGGGTAAGATGATTGTCAATGATACTTCATGCACAAGTGGGATACTCATGTGAACGACTCTTAGATGCAATTAAAACGTTTTTGGAACTGCAAAATACGACACCGCTTAATCTCCATGTTTTGCATGGTCTTTCGGATGCGTATTTTATGAGCGGGGATGGTGTTAATGCCTTTTATGTATTTCGGCAGGTAAAAAAGTGTTGCCTACGTTATATCTTCATTTGTATACTGAATTGACAATCATCTAGATCAGAAAACGCGATCCAGAAACGATTCGACACATGGACCGCTACGCATCCCTCCTCGCCTCCCGAAACAAGACGGACGTTCTATCAAAGTAAGCCTGGTGCATTCTTGTTTATTTTCATCATTGTTTATTAAGAATGATTAGGTTGGCAGTCGATCTTGTCAAGCGGTACCCGAACCACCCTGAATCATGGTGTGCCATGGCATATTATTGGCGATCAGAAGGAGACGATGAAAAGGCTTTGCATTTTTGCGAAAAGGTGATACACAGCACTTTCAAATCTTCTCATATCCTTTGCTAACGACATTTTCAATTAGTCCCTCGCCCATTCTCCCACTCACCCTCAAACCCACCTCCTAAAATCCACTCTCCTCCCGCCTCAACATGCCCTCCCTACTCTGCACAAAACCCTCCTACTCTCTCCTACCCTCGAAACCTACACAACCCTCCTAAACATTTACATATCCCAAACCCGCTACACCGAAGCCCTTACCCTCGTCTCCGACCTCGCACACCGCATGCCATCCCACCCCCCAGCCCTATCCCTCGTCGCCAAAACCCTCTTTGAAGCAAACCAACCCCGTAAATCCCTCTCTGTCTACCAACACGCCTTTGAATTAGATCCTACTGATGAGGGTGTTTGTATTGGTTATGCTCAAGTATGTGAGGCGCTTGGACAGGTCTCTAAAGCGGAGAGTGTTCTCAAGGGGTGTGCGAGTGTTGGGTGTCGGGTTCTGCTGGCTGGAGTTTTGGGACGGGCTGGAAGGGTTCATGAGGGATTGGAGGTTGTGAATGGAGTTTTGGTGTATGTATGCCCTTTATGCTTTTTTTTTATGTATTTTGTGTGTGCTAACTGTGTGTCTTTTTATTATCAGGATGGACCCAACGCATCCGGAAGCCCTCTCGACACTTGACACGCTCCATCGCCTCGTATCACGCCCAGAAGAGGATGAACCACCTGAAGAAGACGACGAAGACGAGGATGAACGGGAGCGAGTTGAAGAATTGTCGAATGGACTCGAGTTTTAGAGTTTTTTGTGTGTAATCTAGTGTTTATGGTGTTTATTACTATTTATTTGCTGCCAAAAGTGCCTGCACAGTGTCTTGTACAGACTGTCATGGGCTCAGAGTGGTACGTCCCCATACAAGGAAATGTACAATGTGCTTTGCAAAAGGGTGTACTCTATACCAATGTGTTCCCGTGGTGTCGTGCGCAGTATATTACATTCGGAGGTTCATGATCTCCCTACAAGACGATGATTGAAAGCATATCGAATGGGTGGTACATCCAGAGCTGGTATGTGTGCTTGTCAGTTCTGCTATAGCACAATAGAATCCAAAGTTAACAAATTAACAAAAAAAAGGTAGTAAAATACAAAACCCACTACGACTATGAGAAGAGAGCCTACAACCCCCCAGCCCTCTTTAAATTCCTATGCTCAATCACCCGGTTCTTTATCTTCCGATACGTCCGTACCGTAAACAACCGATCCAACCCCTCCCTCCTCTCAACGGACTCGACAGGAGGCGCAACATCATAATCCACAACAGCCGCCAAAATCGATGGATCAGCCGGATGGATCGGTGCATGTCCTTCCAATCTCGACACTGCATGGGGGTCTCCATGTCGAGCTGCAAGTGTGTACCACTCCAACGCTTCCTCCATATCCCCCTGAACCCCAATTCCGTTTTCAGTAAAATACCCGACAGCATACTCGGCTTTTGCTAACCCCTTTTCAGCAGCCTTTCGAGCCCAAATATAGGCTTCCTCGTCATCTTGTACGAGAATCTCTTTACCGTTCGCGTCTTCTGCTCCCGTGAAATGCCATGCACAGAGCTCGTACATGGCTTCTGCGCTGCCTTTTTGGGCTGCAAGGGAGTAATAGTTTATTGAGGCACTTGGATCGATGGTGGCACCGAGGTCACCAAATTGGTATATGTGTCCCAATCGGAGTTGGGAAGGGACGTGTCCTAGCTTTGCGGCGCGGCGGAGGAGGTCCAACGCGGTTGCCGGGTCGGCTTTACCGTTTAATGCATTTGGGTCGTGTTCGTGGAGGAGGGCGAGTTGGTAAAGGGCGTGTGGGTGTTTGGGTGTTGCGTACCGCGCAGATAGGTTAAGCCATTTGATGGACGACGAAATATTGCGGGGTTGCCCGAGTTCGCCGTTGGCAAGAATCATGCCGAGGCGGTACATGGCACCTGGGTGATGAGCTATCGCTGCCTTGCGGTACTTTTTGACAGCCGATGCAGGATCAGGGGGTGCATTCGTTCCTCGACCGTGTTCGTAGCAGAGTGCAGCATGGTACGTTGCATCTGCGTGACCTACACTCTACCATCAATCACCCATCTAAATGGACCTCAAAAACCAAACAGTAAAACATACCCTTTTTGGCTGCACTCAAATACAATGGGAACGCCTTCTCGTAATCCGGCTTATGCCTCGTCTGAGACCCAGGAACACCCGTAATCAACAAACACCCAAACGTAAACTGCGCATCCGCGTACCCCTCTTTGGATAACTCCCGCAATATCTTCAAACCTTCGTCCAAGTAAGCTTTTTGACCTGTTTCGAGGTACCGTAGGTTTTCAATGAGGTATTTCGCGTATGCGTATCGTGCGGATTGAGAGGTGGGTGATGAAGGGGATACGGATGCAGCATGTTTGAGTTTATCAATGGTTTCAAGGAGTGACAGTTGGGTTTGGACTGCTGTCGGTGTGTGTTTGAGTCTGAAGATGGTGTGAGGGTTGTGCGGGTCTGGGCGTTCAGAGTCTTCTATACTGCTTGCTGTGCTTGTTGTGCTTGTTGTGCTGGGTCGTCGGTCTCGTCGGGTGTACGGAACGGAGAGGTCGGTTGTTGTGGGAGACGGGGAAAGAGGTGGAGAAATGGGACCTTGCTCCAGGTCATTCATGATGAGACGAGCGGGTCTGGAGAGCTTGCGCATGGCCCGAATACCGACTTCCTCGACTTGAGGATATTGCTCTTCGTTCACTTCATGCTTGGTCCCAACATCTTTACTCTCAGAACTAGCAATGGAATGACGTTTCCTCTCTCCATGCTTGGGTCCGCGCGCAAAGGCATCCAATGAATTCCTTCCATCTCCACTTTCGTATACGGTTTTAATAAACTTGCTCTTGTCGTTTCCTTGTTTGGGAGCTATCTGCCAAGAACGAATGGGTTGCCGTGACCGTTGCTTGGGGGGTAACGGAGGTGTTGCTAGATCGTCTGCCACCATGTTGCCGGAAAACACATGAACGTCAAGGACAAGAAAACCACCTTCACACGACGTTTAAAGCCAGCCCACGCAAACGATGGAATGAGGACGTTCGTTGGAAACCAAAATTCCCGAAGCCCGGAGGAAAACAGCTCGCCCACCTCGGCCGTCACACATCTGCCGATCTCCATGACTGTGCATGCTGTGCCACAAGCAAGTGTGAAAGCCTTCAAGCGATTGCACAGCCCTTGCATGTGAAAAGGGAACAAAATTCACTCTCAAAAAACTGATCTAAAGTATTTTTTTTTTGTATATCCGGCTATCGGAACAAAAGAAATGGACACATTCTTTATTTGGATGGTCCTGCGTGCTCGTGTCCAACTTTTTTTAGATCGCTGAGAGATCACAAAAGGTTGTGAGTACAATGCAACGTCATCAGGACGGTTTGACTGACGATGCTTCTTACCCCATCTTTGTCGTTTCGACAGGTGTTCCGTACAAAATCAACTGCTTGATCACGGTGGTTTCCTCTCCCCCTAAATTATCTTGCACAAAAATCTAAAAAACGTCATCCAACCGTAAATGAACGAGCCAAAAAAGTGTATGACTTTGACAGTAACTCACATTCAGATTGTGTACGCTTTGGTATTTAACAAATCGTAGGGGAATCACCGCCCCAGTCTCATAGTCATTTTCGGAAATTTCAATAGTCTCGACTGGGTCTGTGGAATCCGCCTCATCAAATGAGAGAATGGCAGCTCTGTTCACAAACGTTTTAATAGTCTTTGGTGCTTGGCCTTTCAGGAAGCGAGGAAGGAGGCTGAGCTATAAGGATGGATATGTCAAAGCCCGAAATGGCCATACCTGAAGGACCAGGCACAATCTTAATTGAGTGCAGCTTGACCGCTTGGTTGAACGGCACACTGATAATGAGCTGCTCGTCTACATCACTTTCCAAAAACGAGTCATCCTTTTTGAAGCTGTTGCGCACATTGTGGTTGTGAGATTGGTTGAGGCACTCAAGTTGGTTGATCGTGACAAATTCGGTCAGGTCGCTCTGAAATGTGTGCACGTGTCAATCCTGCATTCATGGTACAGTAGATCAGAGTGCCTAATTGACATACGTGGCCTCCGAGTCCTGCGGCATTGTTGGATTCATCGGCGGGCCCTTGAAATTGCTTGTATCGCCCTTTATGGTTAGCCATGTCTAGGAGCGCTCATCTCAGCATTCTTATCCTACCTTGATGAGCTGCTCTAATCCATTCTTGTTTGCGCCCTTCAATTCACCAATCTTTGATCCAGCCTTGAAAAACTGACATTATGCAACCCAACGTCAGTTGCTTGCTCAAATCTGACTTTGGTTGGGACACACGTCCTATACCTGAAAGGTGGGCATCGCCTGCACGCCAGCAGCTGCAGCTACTTCCTAATCAGAGAATGTATTGGATTTCTGGTACCGGGTTGGTTTGGACTGGATTTTTCACTCACTTGCAATTCGTCAACATCAACTTGAGCAAATGTGACATGTCTATGGTCATGATGATGATAAATCCCATGAACTTGTGCGCAACATCGATTGGAATGCTGACCTGTATTTCGTGCTAAGCTCAGCAAATACTGCATGTATCCGGGTGGATTAAGTCCCACTGTATCTACATCGGTCCGTCGAGATTTAAAACCTACCAGGCTTGATCATCTGCAATATTACTAGTGAGTAACCGTCTCCAGTCTCAACAACAAGGACAGGATCTGGCAGTCCCTACCTGACAAGGACCGCACCAACTGCACAATAAAGCAATAAGAACCATCAAGAACCATAACACCAGCACGGATGCAATAGCAATGAATAAGGTAGTGCATACCTGGCTGTGAAATCCACCACGATCTACGCATGCATCGCGCGCTGGGTAAGCTTTAGCTCGCCATGCAAGTCAACAAATGCGACATACCAGTTTCTTGGCATCAGCCTGAGAAAGCAATGCCTGATATTCCGCCTGTGATCTAATACTTTTAACAAGAGACATGTTACGCTTATTGTTGACGAGTCTACAAGGTTATTCCACTTGGCAAAAGTGTTGAGGGCGTTTGCGCTGGATGACGAATCTCATGGTGATAAATTGAAATACGGGTTATAAGATTAGTGGCTTAGTTGAATTGTTTTTGAGGACGCGCAGGTTGAGGTAAGAACAAAGTTTGGGATTTTTCCTCCAGGAAGACGTTGAAAAACCATGGAGGACATTGCGAATGCGGGAAGGTGGGATGCACTGAACCCGCCATTATCGGCACCCATGTAGGTCCTGGGTGTGGTAGTCGACTCGCATACTGGGTATTAATGGCTTCTTCTTGCAGTTTGGAGGCTCTGCAAACACTGTCATTTACTCAAATGACACCGGTGCAGGCATCTACTGTACCGTTGTTTATGAAGAATAAGGATGTTGTTGTAGAGGTGAGTAAGGGATAATTGTAGCGGAATATATGGCTTACAGTTACACGGAAAGTAACACCTGTCTGATTTGCGACCTGGTGTTCAGGCTGTAACCGGTTCAGGAAAAACACTGTCGTTCGTTATCCCCATCCTCGAAATGCTCCTTCGACGACATCGTGATGGTCGAGGACTATTGAAAAATCAAATTGGCGCTGTCATCATTTCTCCGACACGAGAACTGGCACGACAGATCTACGATGTTGCTACAACCTTCCTAGATGCCATAAATACAGCGGCGACTGCCGAATTAGAAGAGAGTGGAAATCAAGATGATGACTTTCAGGGAACAATACCAGCTCTTCAACACATGCTGTTCATTGGTGGAAATAATGTGCAGGAGGATGTCCAGCGATTTCAGAGGGAGGGTGCCCAAGTAGTTATTGGAACTCCCGGACGGTTGGATGATTTATTGAAACGGAGTGCAGTGTTCAGTACCAAAGAGTTGGAAGTCCTTGTGCTGGATGAAGCCGATCGGCTACTCGACATGGGATTCGAACAGACCCTAACTTCCATTATTCAACGACTCCCGAAACAGCGACGAACGGGATTATTTTCTGCGACCATGTCTGATGCATTGAATCAATTGGTTCGCGTCGGCCTTCGGAATCCGGTGCGTGTTCAAGTCAAGGTGGAGAGTTTAACTCAACAGGAGGAACAATGTACACCATCCAGTTTGGAAATCGGATATGTGATATGTACGCCTGAGCAGAAACTCGTTCAGCTGATGCGTTTCTTGAAGAGAGAAAAGGATAAAAAGTTTATTGTATATTTTGCAACGTGTGCTTGTGTCGACTATTTTTTCAAAGTAAGGCGGTTGGCGATGCGAGTATTGGATTCTGGGACAAGTGCTGATTGTTCATTGTTGATGGTCACCATAGGTACTATCAAACCTACCCGACCTCAAGGAATTTTCGTTCCATTCGTTGCACGGCAAAATGGATCCCAAACGCCGTGAAGCCGTTTATAAAAAGTTCACGTCTGCCCCCTCTTCCTCCGTCCTAGTTTGCACAGACGTCGCTGCCCGCGGACTGGATATTCCAGATGTCGACTATGTAATTCAATTCGATCCACCTCAGGATCCCAAATCATTTGCCCACAGATGTGGTCGAACTGCTCGGTTGGGAAGGGAGGGCAAGGCGGTGGTGTTTTTGACGCCACAAGAGGACACCTATGTCGAGTTCCTTAGGATTCGAAAAGTCCCCATGGTCGAACATCCCTTGATATCAGATGCCGAAGCCGGACGAAAGGGGACAGAAAATGATATCCTAGAAGCTGTGCGTAAAGCCAATACCAAAGACAGAGACCTCTACGAAAGGAGCACAAAAGCTTTTGTAAGCTGGGTACGATCCTACAGCGAGCACCAAGCGAATTACATCTTTCGGTTCAAAGACGTCGATGTCGCAGCTGTTGCTCGTGCGTTTGGACTTCTCAAGCTTCCCAAAATGCCCGAGTTGAAATCGCTCAAGATTGACTTTCAGCCTACAGTCATCAACATTGACTCCATCAAATATAAAGACAAGGCCCGCGAAAAGCAGCGACAAGCCAAAATCGCTAAAGAGAAAGCCTTGGCCGAAGGAGAAGCGGCCAAGAAAGATAAAAAGCGTAAACAGAAACCAAAAGAGACGGTTGCATGGTCACAGCATAAGGAGCTAAAGGAGCGAAGATTGGAGCGCAGAGAAAAGAAGGAGAAAAAGCGGGTAGCCATTGCGAAAGCCAAAGTGGAAGGCACGTTTGTTCCCAAGATAAAGAAGACGACAGAAGGCGACACCAGCTCTAAGCGAAGTCGGGGGAGTGATAGTGATAGCGAGGATGACTGGGAGGAAATGAAGTTGGAGGCTCGGGCGTTGAAAAAGGCCAAAAAGGCTGGAAAAACTCGACAACTGGAGATAGATTCATCGTCGGATAGTGACTAAGTGGTGCACAGAAGATCTGGTGCGGGCGATTGGCATGTACATAGTTTGCAGTAGCTTCCATGCTTTTATTTATTCTTAGATATAATATTATTCGTATAGTTAAGCAGCAAGTTTCAAATTCTATTGCGCGACCATCAATGTCTCGTTCTGTTCATATGCTGATTGTCAGCTCTCATCTTTACTCCCTTTGGAAGCCCTCTGTTCATCTTGCCCCTCCAGCATCTTCAAAACCTCCGCAAACAAGGCATTGAACATACTCTGTACACCTTCACCAGTCAAAGCCGATGTCTCAAAATACCTTCATCCCGCAATAGTGGCATAAATATAAGCAAAATATGAAAGCCAAAAGACGTACCAGTACCTACCGTAATCCCAATTGTTCAGCCATGCTCTCCCCTTCCTTTCTTGTCACTGCTCGTGGGAACTGATCTACTTTGTTGGCAACGAGAAAACTGATTGTTTCGCTTTGACAGTATGTATTCAGTTCGTCAATCCAGGACTGGAGATTGGTGAAGGTTTCCTTGTTTGATGTATCGTAGACGAGAATCACCTACAAGAGGGACAGCACCAATTCCTGAGTGATTCTAACACGAGGAGAAAACGAAACTGTAACTTACGCCATGTGTGTCCTTGTAAAATTCGTTTCGGATCTCAAAGTATACAGAGTCCCCCGCAATATCCCAAAAGTTTACTTTGACTATTTCCAAAGTTCAAATACCCTCGACAATGAGCACGCTTTTCTATCATGAAGCTTAATGGATCGTCGCACCTTCAAGCTCCTCCATTTGAATCGTCTTGACACCATAGTCTATCCCAATGGTTGATATATATTCTGAAATGAACTGTATGGATATCTGTAAGTCTACTCAGCACTTATAAACTATGTGGCAAGAACATATTACCCTCCCCTCGCAATACCGCTTGATCAAACAGCTTTTGCCGACATTTGGATCTCCCATGCTGAGTATTTTGATTCTGAATGTTTTTTAAAACAGGCATTATGTATCATGTTGGATGATGGTTTTTTGAAATTGGGGAAGGAAACCTTTTGGCATCACTTTTGGTTTTGACTGGTGTGCTGAGGTGGCCGGGTTCTCTATCCATGTTTTGATCAACATAAGGATGACGGGCCGACGCGTTCACGCGTGTTTTTGGCTAAAGCCTGCTCTAGGTTTTTGCCCTTTGTTTTTATAACTAACGCTTCCTTTTCGCTTTTGTTTTTAGTTATGAGCTGATAGAACCATTTGCATCTTTATTCGGCAAGGCAATCCTCCAAGTTTGCCTCGCCAGGATTGTCTCAAATGAAGCCCATTACGACAAGTGATCCCTGGCCAATTTCCTCCTTCCCTTGAAGCCCATTTTGCCTTACGTTATGATCAAGATTCCCCATATGGCCTGGGAGCATTCCTACAACCTTTCACATGTCAAACCGTAAAAGGACATCTATCTATCCATTACACCAAACGCATGCATTTGTCCCAAACCTCCGATCTTGGTCGTTTGTGCAGACGCGACGCGTAGCTTTCGTCTCTCCTTTTGGCCCTGCTGATTCAGCAAAGATCTTTGAGTTTCTCGGTTTGCCTTTTTGACGTGTGATTAAGGAGACTGTCCACTTTAAAGGGGTTGGTCTACAAGGTTCGTAGCATCGCTCTTTTTATTGTGATTGGACTGTACTTTGACAGTGCATCAAGTATGAGCGTCATTGGAGGGAGAGGCAGCATTAATGATGAACTCATCAATGGATGTGATGTGAAGGCAATGATCACTGGGTGAGAACCGAATCCGTTTTGGCATTCTTTCATTTTGCTGTCCCATAACATGTCTCATGTTCTTTGGTATGATACTAGGATGCCAGAACGCAAACCTTCCATCGCCGACTCTGCGTACGGAAGTAGCGAAGATCTTCTTTCCACAAGTCTCGATTACCTCGCTTCAGATTTATCTGCAGAACCGGAGAACGACGTCATTGCCTGTCCCGGCTGGAGTTCATTAGATGAGGAGGAAGGTTTATTCGATTTTGAAGCAGAGGCTGTCCCAACCGAGGAAGACGCCGTTCGACAGATTCCGCTACTAAAGGACACCAAGGAGTTAATTGAGTTCTGGTGGGCATGCTCGGAATGATACTGCATTTTGGATGTGTTTCTGATATGGGCATGTAGGAAGTATCCGTGTGAACACCATATCGTCGAGACGCGAGATGGATTTATGGTACGTGTAATGCGTTAAGCACATATCAGAGGTACAAGGAACTCATTTCTTTTGCAGCTCGGTTTATACCGCATTCCAAATCCCCAACACGGCCCAACAGCCTTCTCCGCCATTCCCCCTTACGAACGACCTCCCGTCATCATCTGGCACGGCTTGTACATTCAAAGCGCTGCTTTTGTCTCTTCTCCAGCCGGCCCAACAGGAAATCTCGCATTTGTCCTCGCCGACGCTGGCTTTGACGTTTGGCTTGCCAATAGCCGTGGAACCGTTTCATCCCGTCGACACAGGCATTGGCAAAGTCCTGAGGAAGCCATGTTTCATTCACAATATTGGAAGTACGTTGGGTTAGATGAAATGGCAAAATTTGATGTGCCTGCTGTAGTGAACTATGTATGTGAGACCACCGGGTGGAATAAAGTGGCATACTTGGGGTACAGTCAAGGAACTGCCCAGATGTTCATGAGCTTGAGTGTTAGCGAGGAGATGAATGAGAAAGTGGCCATTTTTGTGGGGCTGGCTCCAGCATTGAAGCCGAAACGTAAGTTTGCGGTATTCTAATCCGGGAACATTCATCTGAATTTGTGATGAACTTACAGCGATATCAAACGAGACGATCAACGCCCTAACCCGCCGATTCACGCCATCTGTCCTATATGGTCTCGGTATCTGGTCTTTCCTCCCACCTGCAGAATGGCTACGACCTATGCTCCCCTCTGATATGTATGCTCAAATCGTGCACAACGCATTAATCATCCTTACTGGGTGGAGCTGCGACAAGTGGAAAAGGAGCTGGTGGCCTGCACTTTATATGCATTTGTTTGGGGGAGGAAGCGTGCGGAATGTGGTGGTAGGTTCTGTAGGCGCAGCGAATGATTGCAGGCCGACGACTGATGCGTAACGGTAATGTATACTACGATAGCACTGGTTTCGAATCATAACAGAACAAACCTTCACCCCATACGAGCACGAAATTGCCCCACACCATCTCCGCCTCATATCTCCCACACAAGAAGAGCAACAGCGCACAACCACTGCTATTCAAACCTTCGCGCCAAAACGTACCGGACCGTGCTCTTACCCGACACATCACATCAAAACAAGAGTTGACTTATTTTGTGGAGCTGAAGACACGATTTCGGATCCAGACGTCTTCAAAACTGCCCTGCCAAAAGCTTCGATTAAGATTATTGATGTGAGTTTACTATACGCTAAAGTCGCTTCTGCTTCTATACAATCTTCTTTTTACTGAGCAATTGCTTTGTTGTGTTCGCTTCGTTCTGTAGAACTACCAGCATATGGTGAGTATCACATCGGTATTTGCCAATTCCAATCAGATGAAATCCTGACTTGCTTGGTTCATAGGACTTTCTTTGGGATCCAGCCGCAAAGGAAGCTGTTTGGAATGATGTGATATCTGCCATACGTGAAACGATGGATCTTGTGAATGTATAAACGAACAAAGGCTGGTGAATGTATAAACTGGGTAATCTAAGGTGAAAGGTGGCTGCTACAAGACAAAAGAATATTACTTCTCATGATGGAGCTGGTGTGCTTGGTTTTAAAACTGTTTTGCTCTGAAACGATTCCTATATGGCATGCCCTCTAATAGGCTCTACGATGACATCTCTATATATACTTTTGCCGCAGACAGTAAAAAGGTTTCTAGTGAAACTATTGCCATCTGGCAAGGCGTATGCACTTCCCGCTTGGGGATGACGGAACCGGTGCATATTAACCAGCTTAGTCCTAAAATGTAGAAATCCGGTATTATGCCACTTGGTATCAAACTCAGATTTTCTCCGGATCGTCCGTTGCAACGCTCTGTGACCCCCGTGTTCGCGCGATAGGTCTTGCTGAGGAACCTGTGGCGGCGAGTGCAGCACCGCTTCCTTGGGTGATTGGGTTCAAATGAGCGTCTTCTCGTGCACGGTTGGCCAAGATTTCGTCTAACTTGGTTTGAACGATGCCCCCAAAGCGGCGGCTGTTGGATGCGTCGTAATTCTAATAAAGGATATGCGTTATCAATACCATATCTCAAGATATATGTTTAAATATTGCGGGTAGGAGCTGTGGAACAGACCTTGCTCTTCGCGTCCTCCTCGTTCTTTCGCATGAACTCGTTCCACATTGACGGTCGAACATACCAGGCACCATATTTTCCATGGGTTCGTCGTGCGTCCTCTTGGGATACAGCGCTCTGTCCTTCCATCCCTCGCTGTCGTCTTCGGGGACTCCCGCTTCGTCGTTTGTCCTTGCCAATCTGTAGCCCAAGATTTTCTCTCAAGCTCTGCAAAAGCGCTTCTGGCGGGTTCGCCTCGCGAACAATGTTGAGCCGAACAGATGGTTTGGCTTCTAGGATGGACGGCTTGCACGCATTTAGCAGAATATCAAAGCCTTCAATATCTACTGGTCGCTGTGTGTCAGAAGGTTCAACTGGAGCGGGGTTAGCTGCCAGCGGGCCTGTCGGATCAAAGACTGTTGGTGTGTCCAACGTTGATTGTACCCATGATTTGAGGTCTTGCGTGACTTGCTTCATTTCTGCAAGCGCTTCGGCTTGATTGTTGGCTCTAACTGTGTCATTGGTTGGTAAGTGGGCTGAGCCGTGTTTCCGACGGTCGATAAGCTGGGAATACTTTTGAACTGGGTTGGTACAGAGGTCTTGTTTGCCAACCACTGACTCTGAACCATCATGTGTATGAGTTTGTTTTGAAAGCTCCTCTTCTTTCTGTCGCTCTTCGACGCTCTGGAGGTGAGCTTCAACAATTGGAAAATCCACGTCGTCATCCGCCACTTGTTCCTCCTCTGACGGGTCGGTGTCCTCTCCCTGCGGATCTTGCCCATAGATAACCCGTCGCACATCCCTCCTCACTTTGCTATTCTGATCAATAATCCTTAGAATCGCCTCTCTCTGGTCCTGAGTGAGCCCCTTGAATTTCTTCAACATGGTCTCCTCTAAATTCCTCTCCATCTCTTCCACTCTCCGCCTGTTTCGCATGACCCTCGGAAATGCCATCTGGTGAGCATTTTCTCTGGTGAGTTGCGTGGAAAGATCGAATAATGGGGGTTCGTATGGGTCTTGCGGCTCTAAAACTGTACGAAGTTCTGCGAGCGGCAAGCTGGTTTTCGGCACAGCAGGTCAGAGTGTCAAACATCTGTGCAGGTACTATGGCTGCGAACATATGTATGGGTGACTTGCCTGTGTGTGTGGACTCTACGCAAGGACCAAGGACGGACGAATACCATGTTTTCTGTCTATTCAAGTTGAGCAATGGTTCTCGCAGCACTTGTCAAGACAGTTGGTGAACAATGGGCGGGATTTGATTACATTCACTGGGGGTCATTGGGATCAAATGTCACTTGAACCACGGATGCGTAGCTAAGCCTCATCGGACGGAACTTGAAATGAAAACCGGATAGAAACGTTCGTTGGATCTTGAAGTAATAATTAAAACTATCTGTTTGTGATTTTGGATATATGTCAAGGAATAAAATAATAAAAACCTCTGGCGTAACAGTTGATTCACAATTGTATTTTGAGGATGTATTTATCTTGCTTTTGTTCCTACCCAACCCGCTCAGTCGTGACCCTCCGTTTAATGAAGTACGTTCATTTTTTATCCAAAACATACAGACTATCGTTTTTCTGCAATATGGTCAGGATAACACGTCTGAAGTCATAGAGGAGATACTCTTTTCCTCTTTTCCTGTCACACGCTGATATAGATCCTATCACAGAGGGTCTCTATGCTCCTTTCCACTATCCGCATTCTTTTCAAGGTTCAGCCCGGAAAGGTCCAATTCACCAGAAGGCTGTTCTATAATCGTCCGTGGTGGGACAAGAGGCGAGTAGCCGGATCCTTGACCAGGTTCTGAGCGAAGAGACGCCCGTGATGCACTCAAGGCACCAGAGGAACCTGTTTGGCTTTGTGTAGCGAGGGAACTATCGGTGAGTTCGTTTTGAGCGGATGGGGTTCTGACAACTATGGGTGGGACATCTGGAGAGAGGTTCTGGCTCGACTTGATTTCTGAAAACCGTGCAGCGAGTTGTGGCTATCACATGAAGAATGATTTGAATGAGTATGCATGCTACGCTACGTATAAACCCAGGATATGCTCACTATACCTGAGATCGATGTAAACCGGATTTTCGACCCACACTGAGGCTAGAGTGGCTCAAAGCGGTCGCCATCGTTTTGTCCAAAATCATATACCCTGCACCACTGCTGCTCATCCTTCTGCCTTTATTACCAAGGCTATCTTTCCTTTTCTGCTCCTCCTCATGTACCGAAGCGGGAAGTGCAATCTCCAAGTCGACTTGATCGGACTTTGCTTTCGCACCAATGGCCTCTCCATCAAGAACTTGTAACTCGCGGATGCTCGCCGTTTTTCCACCAGCAAGGTGAACGGGATGATCACCCTTCATTACACTACCCTTAACGCCAAATTCTTCTTCCAGATCATCGATGTCAGTGAGAAGCATCGTTGCACGGTTGCCTGGACCACCCCCTCCGCGTGACCTCTTTGCAGCGAGGTGCGCTTCGTATCGTTTTACGGTCGCGGAATTGACAAGCGTTTTGTCGGCAGGGTACGCTGCGAAAGCGCGCTCGAGATCTTCTTTGGTGAAGACATAAATGTCGGTATTGCATACAGCCCGCGCGGAGTATTCGTGACGATTCCCGAGTACGACACAGAATTCGCCTGTAGTTCGAGATGCTCATCAGAAACATTGAAGAGAAATAGGCAATGCTGTGACCTTACCAAAGTAAGCTCCTTCAATCAATGACGCTGTTGGTCGTCGCAAATCATCCGTTGCATAAATATCGATTCGTCCTTGAGTGATGAAATACATCTCAAGTCCCAAATCGCCCCGGTGCACGACATATTCATTTGCAGTAAAGAGATAGAGTTTCATATCTATTGCGATCATTCGCCTGAAGCCGATGGAGCATTCTTTGAAAATGATAGCCTGAAATAGTACTTGGTTTCAACGATCACATTCACTATGAAAATGGAACAAGAAGAACGTACGTTGTCGATGATCTGGTTGTTCAAACTCAGCGCGACTTCCTGTTTGAAGGTACTTGGCATGTCCACAAACAATCCTCTGACGTCTATACCTCTGTTTCTCTCCCAAACGTAGTCGTAGTAGTTTAGGACACGTTCCTTCATGTCGGGGTCCATTGCGCGATCGGTCATATACTGCTTGACAGCGTCGAGTCGCTGCTGGTATGCCACCCTGCGGGAATCCATGTTGGAAAGGGTGGAGGCAATCGTACCGTTAATGTATCCGTAGAAAATAACACCACTGAGGACGGTAAATACGGCGAAAACACGTTCAGATGTGTTGGAAGGGCGGATGTCACCGTAACCCAAAGTGGTCATTGTAACGACTATCCGCAGAATTGTAACAGATAACTTAGAATTGCACATTAAGAGAAACTATTTTGCCATAAACGCACCTGTCCAGTACAAACTGTTGATGTACAACTGTCCAAGACCCACGGTTGGAAAAGGTTCAAAGCTTCGAAGGACCCATGAGTTGTCCTTACAAGCGGGTGTGATATCCATTGGCCAATCAATAACCCCAGAGCAAGCGTTCGCAAACCAGATACATGCTAGCACATGTGACAATACAATTGCGTAGCAGACGAACTTTGCAACTTGAATCGTGAAGCTGGCGTGCAGTTTTTTTTCTTCCCGCCTAAAGTAAATCATGACTCGCCCTACCCGCAAGACCTTCCAGAGACGGATGATGGCCAGTTTTGCAGGTCCGGCGCTGCCATACCAGCCAAAGGCGATGAAGTCCACTGGGAAGTTGATGAGGACGTCGTAGATGAAATCTGGCGATCGAACATAATGGACGGCCATCTCCTTGGGAAAGACAACCCAGAAACCGCCGACCAGATAGGCAACATGAAATTTGATGTACACATCCGCCAGAAAGATGACATCCATCAAGTAGCTCACAACCCATGCTGCGGCCGACCGGTACTGGAAAGCGGCCATAAAGGTCGCCAAGATAGCATTGACAATAGCGATGACGACCATAAATCGGTTCCATGTTCGAAGAAAATGGCCCTCCGGAATCAGATAGAACTTGGTCAGTTGATCCCATAATGTGTCACCGTTCTTTGGTGGAAGAAGAGATGGTTTCTTTTGTTTCTCCATTGTCGAAAAGTCCTCAGTCGTGCTTTTGTCCCGGGAGAAGCGGGATTTGGTGGACATATTCCGCTCCATGATGGGCCGAGCACGTAAGCTGGTTACGAAAGGGAGAAAGCGTAAGTTTTGTCAAAATCGGAGACTTCGAGATCTTTTGTTTGTCTGCTCCTTATAACTTAAAAAAATGGAAAAAAAGTTCCTCTCGCTTGCTCTAAGATTGTTCTTTTTCTTGCGATTTTTAGAAATATAAAGGGGAAATCGACTTTTTAGCATCGTTCTAACATCGATATTCCCTCATTTGCTATTGATCCGACCATGCGCGGAGTCTGAACTCTAATTCGCTTTCAAACCTTATTCATGTAACACACGACTATGTCTGATATTGTCTTGACCATTGCACAAAGGCTTGAGAGGATAGGAGAATAATACGATGCAGACTTGTTTACTTTTTTCGAGTTTCCATCTTTGGATCGGAGTTTGGGGGTCGCCCAGCTTATGTAGCTGATTGATCTTGTAAAAAAGTAACATCATCCGTTATTCAACCGGTTTTCAACAGCTCGTATGGTTTAGTGGCATAACGTCGCCTTCACACGGCGAAGGTCCTCAGTTCGATCCTGAGTACGAGTACTAAGTTTATTGTAGCAGTTGTTTTTTTAAGACTCCATAGGGAAAATTATGTAATCAACCAATGAACAACGAACCGACTTTTCCCATTAATTCGCCGGTTAGATTGATCAGAGTCATGAGGATTAATGGATCATGAACATTTTGGAGCCAGGTCATTGTAACGGCTCGTATGGTTTAGTGGTATAACGTCGCCTTCACACGGCGAAGGTCCTCAGTTCGATCCTGAGTACGAGTACTCTATGGGTTAATGACATGGTTTTTTTTTTCCTTCCGCATTGGAGAAATTGTATATTCAAGCAACTCAATCAAAAAAAGTCTCTCATTCACACATGTACTCGCAATGTATCAACCCTTGTGCTTGGAAATACAGTGACAAAAGGTGACATGCGACCCTTGAAAGTCGTTGATCGACTCGTAGTGACCGGGTTCGCTTGATAAGCATTAGGACCAGGAGTGTTGGGCGAGGACGCTGCAAGGGAAGGCAGGTTAGGCCTTTGACATATCGGGGAATGATGGATAAACATTCATTTTTCTTACGTTTATTTCCCCTTTCTAACCGTTTTCCAAGAGAGAATTTCGGTCCGGCGGCTTTGGTGACAGTCAAGGCAGTCAGGGTATAACTTCCTGGTCCTGGTGTGGTAACTGGGAACGGTCGCGCTAAAGTAAATGTAATGAAGGAGTGTCCATTGATGAATACTCGAAGAGAATGAAAAAAAGAGTGGTTTTTCCGATTCTAACCTGGGACCACCTTGCTTTTTGCCTTTTCTTTGGCATCGAATTTGGCGAGCTGAGCAGGTGTGATAGCTGGAGTTGTTTGATAGTCAGCGGGTCCTGGCATGCTCTCTTTTCAAGGTATGATGGAAATAAAATGTTTTCTAGTCCCCGGGCATTTCAAGTTAAGAAATGTAAGTGGAATGGTTTTAGGTACCTTGGATGCTATTCCATCGGCCTTTTAAGGTTACTTTTGGGCCGTCATTTCCTCGAACTTGGCGATCTCGTGGCGTGTAGGTTCCTGGTCCTGGAATCCCTTGACCTCTATCATTATCACTTTGTTGATCTTGTAGGTAGTGTAGGCAAAAGTCAGATACGACGGTTATTAGGATGTCTTCACTGGCGCAAATGCCATTAATACCTAAACAAGATGAATACCTTTTGTCGCATGTCTTCCTTTGAGTGACACTACTGCTCCCTTGTCTCTAGTTGGCTCAAAATTTGGCATGTAATCGGCAGGTCCTGGCGGTGGGGTCCGGACTGTTTGCCCTGTCAGTTGGATAAAGGTAAGCTGTATGTACATATTCAACTCAGATTAAAGAAATCATATTTTTGAAGCATACCGTCATGTCGTCCGATGATTGAAAACTGGGGCCCAGAGAAAAGGTCGTTTGGCATGAGGTAATTGGCGGGACCAGGTGTTTTGAGAGCTGATTTTGAATGCAAACAAGAGTGGAGAAGTAAGTTGATGTGAGTTTTTACAATGGTAGTTAGGTGCCAGATGTAAATACGTAAAAGTACCTTTACTCTCTTTATACCATCCTTTCAATGTTGCTGCCTTTTGATCCCAAGGTAATTTGGGATAATACGCATTGGGCGCCGGTCGTCCACCTAAGCCATTAGAATGAGTTTTACCGCTTTTTGAATTTCAGTTTTTTGAGTGTAAAGTAGGTTCATGTACCGTCTTCTGAATCCGTGAACAAGGCAGGGTCGAGTTTGGGTCGCATTGTATAGCCTGTTGACACTTTGGCGTGTGGTGGGACGTTGGGGACATTGTAGTCCTGTGGACCAGGAGTGGGCTCCTCTGTACCAAAGAATCCCGCCGTTAATAAATGGAATTCATGAATGATATTAGCAGAAGGTCGTCTTTACCGATGACGGTCGGCTTAACACCGAACGAGTATTTTGGCGCTCCGGATCTGCCCAATGAGGAGGGAGGAAAGTATTGCTCGGGACCAGGAATGTTGGATTCTAAAAACTAGCTTGTTTTAGACAGCCACATATGGTAGCCAGGCACACAAACACTGCAAAGGGACATACCGAAAACAGGATGCCAGCCCGAAATCGAAAATGAGGGCCCATCTTTCCCAATCGTTCCTTCAGCCAGACCATACTTTCCAGGTCCAGGAAAGTCATTCACTTCCGTCTTTGTGCTCCTTGACGTGGTACCTCCAATACTCCACTTTGGTCTCTCTTCGAAAATGACACGGACCGGATCTGTGTTGTATTTCTGCGGACCGGGTCCTTCATTTTGTGAAGAGGATGTGGCGTGCTTGCCCAGGATAGATATACAGCGGCCAGATGGTAAAAGATGAGGAGTATAGGTCTGAGGAGATGGTGTTGCGTTTGCTAGTGGATGGCGTGGATAGGGTTTCAGATACAAGTATGCCATAGTGCGAGAGAAAGAAGGACTAGTGTTTTACCCAAGCTGCTCAGAGGTGTTCCTCCAGGAGGCGGAATATACTCTCCCATCGCCGTCCGATGTTGGACACCTAGCTGAAGGTGTGGTCGCGTAAGGACTTTACCACCGGATGCTGCATCCTGATGGTCAACTTCTTTGATAGATTTAGCTGGACTGGCCTTTCGGCTTCCGCTTTTGGATCTTGCCCTGTCATTAGATGCCGTTTCGCGCCCTCGGGAAGGCGGTACACCGCCAGCTTCATCGTCTCCAAAGATGTCGTTGCTGCCGATAAGTGGGGCAGTGCTTTCGTTTGGCAGACTTGGCGGATCTACTTGACGTGATGACGTTGCCCGCTTTGCCGTCATTTGTAGTTGTCGCCAAGTAGGTTCGATGGCTAATAGGTATCAATTTGTCAAGCTCACCCTTTCAAATGTTCCTGCATGTGATTTTGGGCTATCAATTGGATTAACGGCTCGAAACGTTTTTGTCTAGACTCCTCCAAGGACACCTCTACCTTTGCTGCCACACTAAAGACCCCTTGCCGCGGGATCGGTCCTGATTTTGGCATCGGAGAATACAAAGTATAACTGAACGCACAATACGAAACTCTTTGGCTGATCTGGGATTCCCGTCATATTTACAGGGTACACCCGTCAATTGGCTCAGAGGAAACTGAACCTACATTGGTAAGCGGGTCTTGTGGTTTGTGATATATGACATATAAACTGTGCTAGCAAAAGAGACAAGGCGGTGAACGACCACACACCAGACGTCAGTACAGATCATTCTCATCATCTGGTAGAGCTGGAGGACCAACGCGCAGACTAACATGATTACGTAGGCCACTGCCAACTCTCCGCTTTATGGCCGGCCGGTGTTTTTTGTCTTTGAAAAAGGTCCGCATTGTATGTCTATACGGTTGAGATGTCGACATGGGACTGTCTAGCAGGCTCAAAATCTGAGCGCCGCCAAGAGACTTATGCCGGTGACTTTGGTCTCAACTTTTTGACGGTGTATCATGAAGATCTGAGCGCCAATCGATGTGTGATGATCCCCACTCTTTCTATATGAGTAGAACGTTCATCTTAAAGCTCCGCATAAAAGTAAAGCGACACAGGATATTCATTCACAATCTGCCTTGGCAGTTTTATTAATGACCTTAGTGTCCATCTCGACCTTTTCTTGCACTCGTCCGGGCCCGTCGCGCACCCAATCCTAAAATAGGCTTCTCACTAGTTATCCTTTCAAATGTGGCTCGCTTGGAGTTTGCCCTGCCAAATAGGGAACTGCCCATTCAAGACGGTAAATCTGACCCTCAATGTTTGATAGGTCATCATCATAGGCCCCCTTATTTTGGTGGACAAGAGGAGACGTTTTATTTTCAGTAAGAGCCAATATTTTTCAGTTTTCGTAGTAGGATTTTGCCCAAACGCCAAAATACCACACACGATCAGGACGAAATTCGTTTCCTGTCGGATTTTTTTGCTCTACGATTGATAGTTTGTTGTTTGTTGTTGCTACGGAGAAACATACTATCTAGTAGTTCTCACACGGGCCGACTCCCCACTATCGTTTTTTTCCCGAACGAAGATTGAATGGACCTTATCACCAGATGATTGATCCTTGTAGCGGGCAACATTTGCGGTCCATCGGAGAAACAAACTTTTTGACTCACCGAGCTTAAACGACCAGAGCATTTTTTACATAACAAATGCGCACCCGTTTGAAAGCACTCGTTTGGTTATGGATGGGCGGTTGTTTGGCTGTTGCTGTTTCTGGTTCGGACTATGGCGAGCAGGCACCATTAAAAGCGATTGTTGCGCCGTCGTTGGAAGTCACTACTGGTGGTGGATATGCGGAGGGACGAATATGGGATGGTGTCGAGGAGAGGGAGGAGACTTTCGAGATGGCCGAATTGATGCGACGACAGTCATCCCTGCCATCACTGGTGGTAGGGTACCTTGTTCCCCAGGTGGATCCTTGCAACGCTCCGCTGGTGGATTGGTTTCGAGTGGTTGTGGACGATTTGCAGGGAGCTGGTATACTGGCAGGGGCAAATATTACGATTGTGCGGGGGGTAACAGCAAATCAGAGACCACTGCAAGGTCAACTTGCAACCGATATGGCTACGGGGCAGAATGCGATTGGGTTTCTTGGTATGCATTGTTTATGGATATCCCCGGGATGTTTTGAGCTTTAAGAATCGGGAGAGTCTCATCTAGTTGCCACAGGTGTCGATTCATCGTTCGCCGAAGACGGGGCCTATGGAGCAAGTGTCTACCACATTCCCTTATGCGACGGAAGCAGTAAGCAACCCAAGTGCGGAGCATTTCTATGCGAGAACCAACCTTGACTGTTTTTTTCGTCCTATAGCATTGTCGCGGTCCTTATCCCTTAGTAGCGTCTACTCCACATATTTCCGCACCATCCCAGACTTTCTGCAACGGGTACTGGCAGGAACGAAATTCATCCGCTCTCAAAACTGGATGCGGTATACCGCGTTGGTTGGGTATACCTATGACAGTGGTATGCTATTTTTTTTAAACGGTTGTTTTTTGTTTAATAGATCGTTATAAATAATGGCACTTTGGCAATATTTAGAAACCCTAAACGCACTTCCACAAGAAGACTTGAAGCGAGCATCCCTCGAATTATTTGTGCCGGCTCTGGAACAAGGGCATCCGGATTACACCCCGCAGCTACAACGCATCAAAAACTCTGGAATGTCGATCCTGCAATGTGACATGGACGGGCCAACCCTTGCAGCTGTTTTGACGATTGCTTCGTATGTTTTCCGGGGCTCTGATTGAAAGTGTTTTTCCCGTGGAAGAGTTCCATTTTTGCTCACAATAAGAACATCAACAGGAATCTCAACATGATCAATCGCAACTATGTTTGGATCATCCCAGGGGACGCTTACGACTTTATTATTCGTACCAATGTTACCCTTGTGCCGTTAATGGAGGGTGCTATTGTTATTAGTTCAATTAGGGGACGAGGACCCGTTTGGGATAGCCTGGTCTCGAGATGGAGGACACCTGCATTTATGGAGAGGTGAGCTTGTTGCATTTGCTCCAAAGAAAGGGCAGCGCTCACTTTTCCATTGGGATGATCCCATTAACACTTTACTCGATGCATGTTTCCTGTAGATATCCCTTACTCCAACAATACGCTACCCCACCAAGTCATTATCTGTAAAGTTTTTTTGTTTCTTTCAGCATCATCTTATTCCCCAGTAGTGTTTGGTGTTAACCTGTTATTTCTTGAAAAAAGCCCCTTCCACACGTGTCTTGACCTCCTCCTTCGCGGCTACGACCGCCTTCTTCATCAAAATAACAACCAAACACTTCAAGACCTCGCAGCAGGATGGAAAGGCTCTGTTCTGCCTCGGGTAGACGTTCCAAGGAATTTTACGTTCCCGGATTACCAGACTATTACGGGTGTGGTGTCGTTTAATGGGAATACGCGAGTTGGGTATGTTTGTTGTCTTACGGTTTTTGCATACGTTTGACCGATGACCGATGTCGGAGGGGACTGACGGAGGATATTGATGATTTTGCTTTTTGTTATTTGTATTTCAGGCACTTTACGTACAGTTATATCGCAAACGGCGTATTGATTGATTTTGCAACAAGTATTGGAGATGCAGCTATGAACTTTTCTGCACCTGTTTTGTATTTTGGTTCGACGACGATTCCGCCAGATACAATCTCTGGTGATCATGACGATGGTATGATGGCAAAGGGATTTGGGGGAACCTTTTTGTTCTTCTTGGCCATTGTTCATTAATGCGCAGAGTACTTTCTAAAATTCTCTTTTTTTTTTTTGATCTTAGAGTCGCATTTCTGGATGATACATGTTGTATTGCCCATCACGGTCTGTTTTGGCACATTCATTTTGGTGGGCGCGGGGGTAGCTTTTTGGAGGTGGAAACGGCATAAGCGTCAACGAGAGCTGCCACCTACAAAACCTTTAGGGCATGTAAGTCTTTTCAAACATGGTTTGGTTTTGGTCCAATCTTGTTCTTTTTGCTCATTACCGAGTCTTGATTAGTTTCCGAAACTGGATACAAGAGGACCAGCCCAAAAGGCCATGGAAATCCTCCAAGAATCCAAAGACCCGGCCAAAAAACGTAAACTTTCAGCAAAAGAAATTGATTTCATTATCGACGTTCTCAACTCTGGAGGTGCATTTAACCCCAATCTCGATAGAATGGAGGGCGCCGAAGGGGCCAAAGTGGACGCTGAAACGCGCGCTTGGGTGCTGGACATCCTGGCTGCAAGTCCATCTTCCCATGGTCCCAACGGAATGGTCGCTCCAGTATCGAGACAGAGCTCGGACTCTGCCAATAATGTTGATCCAAGACGAATGTCAAAGGGTGCTGGGATGGAAAAGGGTGGTTCGCAAAGTGAACGGTCGCGATCGAGTATTGCAGATGGGGTAGCGAGCGCTGGGACCACGCCGAGTGGGTTCGAGCTCGGTGTGCTCAGACAACGTCGTGGGTCGTTGATGGGCAGCACCGGTCGAAGAGTGTCTATTCGCCCCCAGGACAGTATCGAATCGACTCGGTCAGGATTATTCTCCTCTCACCCGCTCGAAGAGTGCCCATCACAAGAAATTCCTACGCAGAGCATTCCAACTGACCTCGATTTGATTGATCAAGTCAAGATTATGGATTATCTGACGGTTTGGTACCATTCGTGGAATTTTGATATGTTCCAGTTTGCCGAGATGACGAATGGGCATCCATTGTATTATTCGGGGGTTTATCTCGTGCAGTCCAGTCAGGCTTTGGGACAGTTGCAGTTGGACATGGAGAAATTCAAGCGATGGATTTTGGTAAGTCGTAGGTTATACGCGTGATACGTTCTTGCCTCGCATTAACCAATATATCTGCAACGGTGCATTTTCAAAAAGTTGATGGAAGCAGAGTATCACCCTCACCCCTACCACAACGCCATTCATGCCGCCGATGTTCTCCACGCCCTAAACTACCTCCTCCTCGAAGACCCTCTCGCGGTACACTATACCCCTCTCGAAGTCCTGGCCCTTCTCATGGGAGCTGTCGGACACGATATCGATCATCCAGGCTTTAATAATAATTTCTTGGTGAAAAGCCATCATCCTTGGGCGATTCTGTATTGGTAAGGAAATGCGTTGTCTCTTAACTTTTGTCCATTTGAGGGTTGAGTATTGGGACCTTTGTCTGAATCGAGTTTTTTTCTGGGCCGTTTTGGTTAGCGATTCGAGTGTCCTAGAGTTACACCATTGTGCCCATCTGTTCAGCATGACATTGAGCTCCCCATGGAACATTTTTGCAGATTTAACAAACGACGAGTACGACGAGCTGAGAAGGGTTGTCATTCGTGTTATCTTGGCTACGGATATGGGAAAGGTGGGTTTGTCTGTGTGTGCTCTTGTCTCTTACTTGAATTTGAAAAACTGAATGGACCCTATTGAACAAATAGCACTTTGAGTACATTAACAAGTTCAAATCCAAAATAACCGCTGGACAACTTGTCAAGCTCGATCAAATCCCCGAAAACCGAATCGTCATTGCCGAAATCGCCATGAAGTGCTCTGATCTTTGTAATCCGACAAAGACGTTTGCCTTGTCTAGCAAGTGGACCGAGGCCGTGATGGAAGAGTTTTATCGACAGGGGGATAAGGAGAGGGAATTGGGGCTACCGATCTCGCAATTTATGGATCGGTCAAATACGAATGTGCCCAAGTGTCAGGTAATTTATATCGTCACGGCTGGGTTTTACAGTATTTGGCTCATCACCAAGCTATGCACACCAAAACACACAGATTGGTTTCATTGACATTCTTGTCGCTCCGCTTTACGATGCTTGGAATACGTTCCACGCCAATGAAGAGAAAACAGCCAAAATCGTCCGCGAAATTGGCAAAAACCGATCAAAATGGGTGGGATTGACCCTCTCCCAAACCATCAGCCCACAACAACAACAACAACAACAAGGAGGAGGACAATCCATGGCGGGTGCATCCAACCACGGTCTTGCTCAGTCTGCTGTATCGATTGCCTCACGGAATCCCACGCGTCAGACGAGCGCGCAGCAGCAGGGGCAGGGTCTACCTTCTTTGAGCGGGAGTAGTGGCGGATTGGCACCTCCATCGAGTGGTTCACTAAATCAGTCCACGTTGGATAATCTCCCTTCGTTGCCTGTTTTACCGTTGGGTGCCTCCAGGCCACCGAGAACGCCGACGGGGTCATTGGGACGAGTGGGGAATAATCGGATATCGGACACGGTGGCTGATATACGGGATAAGGGAGGGATTATTATGAATACGGGGGATGTGAAGATTGATGGTCAACCCATGGCGCATTTGTTGTTACTGGACGGTGCGGATGACAAGGTTTGAAAAGGAAGAAGATGGTGTCATTGCGCCAAGTGGTGTGGTTGAAAAGGATTACCGATACGACAAACGTTCTGCATGTTTCTGGTGGTTGGTGTGGCAAGAAACAGCTGATAGCAAATCCAAGTTTTTTTTTGGTTTGGTTTGGTTTGGTGTGGTGTGGGATTTCCTGTTTTTTTCCAGGTTGTTTTTTTTCTCTCCAGATGTCTGGCTGAACGGGCTGGTTACTGTTTTTCTTAATGACACTGGAGAGTAAAGTTGAAGATTGGGGGATAGTGAAATGTAATCTATATCTTTTATAAATACAGTTTTTGGGACAAGCTTCTTGTTATGGGGTTTCCAGTGACATCTTGGTATTTGTTTTCCAAACTGGCTTTAGCGGTATAAATGCATTTTATCAAATGTGTGCGATGAGATAAGCGTTTTGTTCGATGGCCGCTACATTGGCCGGTGGGGAAACCGTCTTCTTTAACGGATCCCACACTCGGAGGCATCGGGGGGATAATGGAAAGACGGTGGTGGTGGTGGGGTCAAAAAGTGTTTCCCCACCGGCATGTATCCTTTATGTAAGCTGTAATGGATATCCAAATATCGCAATCAATAAAGTTGAGAACGTATTTTGGACCAGCGGCAAGAGACATTTGCAAAAACAATTCAATTTGCAAAAGGGTCCCACGTTCGATTTCCGCTGCCGCCACTGTTTGCACACGAATGATGATTGAATTTCTCAGACCTGTACTGAACGTAATGTGGATACTTTGAAATTGCCTTGAAATATCTGACGTGTGTTATTTGCTTTTTTTTTGTGTTGTGCTGAATTGAGTGGTTTGAGAGAGCAGATATTTAGCGTATTGACAAATGGTTTAAGTTTTGTTCATGTCACCCATAACTCGTAACACAACCATTTGTACATTTGCATAAACATGACTAGGCACACGCCACGACCTCCTTGCCCCCCCGAGAAAATAACCCAGCCCAAGTTTTGTTCAACCAAAAAGCAAACATTGGAAATAACCCTTTTTAATTTAGCACATGAGAATCGACAGCTGTGCTTTTGTGTTTTTTTAATTGCTGGTGACTCTATGCAAGTTGATTCAAGTTCCGCTGTGCAAAAGAGCACCCCAAGCAAAACGAAGGAGAGTTGAAGCGGAATCTAATGGAATGGACGAATGCAACGATGTGTGCTAGAGCAAAAAAAACAAAACGTTGAAAAAACAACCAAATGACGTCGTTAAACAACTTGCTGGGCTGATAAAAATTCCATCCCATCAATAAAATAATTCAAAGATCAAAATAAAAGAACACTTTCAAGCCACTCTTGCACTAGAACCGGATGGATACACTACAGCACACCGAGTGTAACACAGAGTGATACAAATGATTTACCAGGGCCATGGAAAGCAATGATTTGATGATTGATGATGATGTTATACGTTTTACACAAGTTGATATTTAACTAGCAAGTGTGAGATTTCTTTGCCCAACGGTCGTCGTTCGTCGTCGTCGTTTGTTTGTTTGTTTGGTCGAGCGATCAAGCTTGAATTCATTTGCATATTATCATCAGTCCCTTTCTCTCAAACTGGGTGACGCACCTGACGCTCATCGAGTTTGTTCACGCCCGACAACAAGTTTCTCTTGTTTTTTCCCCCCGGTTGAATGCTCGTTTTCGTTGTCTCGAGAGCCTTTGCTATTGTTCATCGGTTCATTTGCGTATTGAACTTGTTCGGGCCTAGGTCACAGAAAAACATTCTAGTTGAACGTTTATCCCATCGCAAATCCACTTGACGCTCTCCCAACTTTGTGATCCTCAAAAAGCTGTTTGGTCACCCAGTGTGACGCGCTTCAACTGCTGCAACCCTCGTTTTCACTTACCAATTTGTTTCCAAAGCGCGGCGTTATCAAACCCTCATCTGCAACAAAAGAAACCCTTTCATATTGAAAAAAACCATGATATCCCTCGACAATATCATGCTCAAGCCAGCGTCTCCCATGCGAGGGCATCGGCCCATGGCGGACTCTGTTTGCTTCGAACAATCTAATCAGGATACTTGGGCGTCCCATCATCGTCGCTATCGTCAGTATCGTCACCACCATTCTATTCGAGGTCAACATCACAGTGTCGGAGATTTTAAATCTGTTGACAGCAAAAGCAGTGGCTGCGAGGAATATTCAGAGGAAACATGTTCGGTGATTACAACTTCCACTGAATGTCCTGCATCATCAAAACATCTTAAAGTCGATACTCGCTCTATATATCGGAGTCGATCTTGCTCCCCCTCCAAATCATCACCACCATCTCCCATTCAACTAGAAGAAGATTACAACAACAAAGACTTTCACGACGACGACATGTGCAAATTTCCGAGACGCTTCAACCTTCGCCGCAGGAGGGAACTCAAAGCCATGATGGAAGCTAGAGCTAAAGAATCCCATGCATGGTTACGACAAATCCAAGACGATGCGCATCGGCTCGCTGCTTGTCGTGCATGCGCAAAGATCATGATCGGCAAGATGGATCCCGATGAAGTCGAAGGAGTATACCCCATGACAACAGATCGCAGCCAAACTGCCTCAGAGATCAATCCAGAGATCAATGTCGCTCCTGCTGCAGAGGCAGATGACGTTTCCTTGTCGTTGCCTCCGCCTGTTCCGCAAGCTCCGACAGAACCCAGATCGTCGACATCAGAGTCCAGCAAACCCCGCAGGAGTTTCATGTCCATGCGCCGGTTGCTGCCAGTTCCTGCAGGCATGAAGCGGAGCGATTCGGTCGAATCCGTCGCATCTGTCGACACGATCCAGTGGGCATCGGTCGATTATGTTCACACAAAGACTCATAATCCCCTCTCCTGGAAGCCGGATTGTCTCATGGTGGTCAATGCTGAAGTGTCCGAAGACGAAGGAGAGGGGAACTTTGTGCATTCCCACATGACACCCTCTGTGGTCTCCAGTGAAGCACCCATCAAAGCACAACATATTGAACAAGACCAAGAAGAACAGGAAGAATGTACACGTTCCAAGGTGGACATTAAGGGAAAGAAGCCCGTGTACCTCGTTGAGCAAGAGGTATCACCCGTCATTGACGACCAAGAAGAACAAAGAAACATGATCAATGTCATTCTCAACGCCTATGCCAACGAAGGGCCTTCATCATCTCGTACCCTACTCCCGGAAGATTTCATCCTACCAGAGCCTGATGACCGCTTTTGGTACGACTGCTTCTCAGAGGCTGGCCAGCTCGTCCGTCGCATCTCCACAAAGTCCGAGCCGGTCCCCTCCAAACCTCCGCGGTACGACTCCCTCGACGCCATCCTCCCCCCGGCCGCGGAATATACCCACCACTCCATGTATACCCCAACAACCCCCTCGACTCCCGAAGAAACCGCAATGCCTCCGCTCCCGGTGTGGCTCACCGACCCGGAGCGGCCAAAAAGCCCGCCACGCAAAGACAGCAGCCCCCCCAAAAAGCCCCGGTCCCCTCCCCGCAAGGACAGCAAGTACGATTCATTGTCCTGTAGTATCGTACCGCGGACGGGACCGGAGGCTACGCTGGCGGAATACAGACAATGGGAAAAAGACCATTGTAAAAAAGTCAAGGCTGAACGAGTAGCTCGGGCCAAGACATTATCGAAATTGGAAAAAAAAACCTTTACATCCTCCTCCTCCTCGTCTGATAAACCCCCCAAATCCCCTTCCCGCTTCCTTTCCGATCCCATCACATGGATCTTTCGTAGATCCACACATTCCCCATCCACATCCACATCCAAAACCCTCCCACGGCGAGCCTACCCGGCCTATATCCTCAATCACGCCGAGATGGGCTCGCCGACCGCTAATAATGGGTACGACCCGATCGCCCAAGCTGCTCGTCGGCGCGGCTCGTACATTGCCGACAGTATTATTGCAAAAGAACAAAAAAAGCGGCGGAGTGGGGATCCGGTTGATTGGGGGGTCACGATGGAGGTCAAAGAGTTTGTCAAGGTGGTTGGGGAGGAGGAGGCTAGGGGGCGGCGGAAGGGGTTGGGGAAGGTGGTGCGGAGGATGATGAGTTTTGGGAAGATGGGGTAGAGGTGTGGTGGGGGGTGAGTAGAGGGGAGGAGAGTGGTAATGGTGGGAGAGGTGGCGAGGGGGTTGAAAGCTGGAATGGCGGGGCGGGTGAGGAGGGGGGGGGGTTTAGAAGAAGAAGCAGGGAATGTTAAACACTTTTCTTTTTTTTTACTTTTTTTTTTACTATTAATCAGTACGTTTATAAGTCCAGCATCTTTATTATTTTCATGATATGCGACAAGAATATTCATTTATTTGTGCCCATTTATCTCTGAATACCTGACATAGGAATGGTGGTTAAATGCCATCTGCAATGTCTGCCACGTATCACCTGCAGAGGATATAGCGTTTATTGTTAGAATGTATGTAATGTCCCATTGTCGTCAGAGGACTATTTTACATTTGATATGAACCAACCGAGATGACCTGCGCATGTTTTCGGTATCATGATGTCTGTAATATCTGTCAATGCACAGGATACAACGTCTATTATTCGAATGTACAAGGGTGATCCGTTTGTCGTCCAAAGACTATCTTTTCTGATATGAACTAACACGTAACGCATGATTTTGTTATCAGTGTTATTTTTCCAGTCTTGGAATGTCGACTCTCTTGACAAGAACGACAAGATGCCCTTTTAAGTGTCTGTTGGATATGGACTAGTGTACAATATCATTCTCTGCTCTTTGGATCCATATCAACAATTCGAGAGCCGGGACCAATCACCACAGTGTGGACGCGTTCAACGTCCCACAGTTTGTCATGTCTCGACGTTCACCAAAAGTCCGACAAAATACCGGCATGCTTGCACGAGAGAGGGTGCGCAGCAAGCAAGGGGGAAAAGCGGGCACGAGGAGAAACGTGAGGGAGTCGTTTGCATTGTCAGCAATGTCTAGTACAAAACCCCGCCGTTTCTCGAACCCCAAGGATCTGACCCCCATCGACCCCCATCAACCCCCATCGACCCTCACCAACCCCCAACTCCGCAACCCCCAAAATCCCAACCCTCGGTCCAGTCGTTCAACGACGCATCTTCACACTTATGTCATCATACCCCTGGCACAGTCATGTAACTTCCCGCCAGAATTAAATTAATGTGCAGGGACGGAGGGTGCACAGGAATCCATGATCGAGGGGTGTTGTGTGGATAAAGATGGGCTTGTAAATGTGACAATGTAGATGCGAAGGGCGTGTATTTTTGACAAGTTGATTAAATGATGTTAAGACTTGGTTGAATAGATCTGAATCATTTCTTACAGCCAAATACACTTATCATACAGTGATGAAATGTTACAAAGTGGGTGATGTCGGTAAATATCGTATTCTCATGTATGTCTATATGTAATTGTCTACATCTGCATGTGTATGTATGTATGTGTGTGTGTGTTGTGATGTGCATTCTGAATAAAGTCAAAAACCTCGTAAAAAAGAACCAAGCATCTGCTCCTTCCAACACGTCCCAGAAAGCGCGTCGGACTTGTAGTATTTTTTTCCCACGCTCCTTTCTGACGCGTCAAAGACTGGGGATTTTTTCCCACGCTCGTCTTATGGAGGCATTAAAGTGAAAGGTTGGGGAGCTTTGCAAGTAATGGATGTAGAAAGTGTTTGGATATTCAATTGGGACTACGAACGGACATTATGGACGGACATCTATTGGACATTTCAACGACTAGTTTTATTTCCTGTATATAGAGTCAAGGGGGGGTTTGTGACTTTGATGCTGTGTAAAGGAGAACTCTAGAGTCTGGTGATTGATATATGGCCATAAGTGAATATAAGTGAGCATGGATGGAAAGCGTTAGAAAATCTCTAATCATAGGATATGTGTGAATGCATCTATTATTATAATGCATGAATTAGTGAGAGATTCTTATAGTGTTCAAGAGCATTAATGGAATGCAAAGAGTGGAAAGGGGCCTTTTGGGACGCGCTCTTCAAGTCAGAAGAGAGAGAGCGTGGGAAAATTGTTTTCATCTTTTGGACTCGATGTTTTTCTGTATTGCACACTTCTTCTTCTTCTTCTTCTTCTTCTTACTACTGCAAGGCCTTTCTAGTATCCTAAGTCGTGCTTGACAATCGTTTACGTACTTGCGCTCTCGTGTATTCCTGCCTTTTCCCAGACCCGGTCCGGGCCGCGTGCGTTCACTCAACACCAAACTGCAAAAGGACAATAGCAAGTCCACCACACCTACACACACAGACTGAACTGACCAGTGAGGCAACGACGTTTGACCAAAACAAACCACGTCACCGACAGGTCGTTTGCGTGACCTTGTTTTTTGTTTGCGACTTCAGCACGGTTTTGTGAGCGTTTACCTTGTTCGCGCTCTTTGGACGGGGGAGACATGCTTCCATGACCTAGAGTTGCCAAACAGGCGGCTGAAAGAAAAAAGTGAATAGAAGGGACGATGATGCGTTATCGATAACGTAGAAAACAATACTGAACCATGTTACAAGTTTTGTCGCCCGACCAAAACACTATCATGCGAGGGTTATACCTGGGCGTGACCTACTTGTCTATCGTGCTACAAACTTATGCATTTGTATTGTTTGCTTAAAGGGACTGCATGCTGATCATCTGTCAGTGTCTTTGGTCCAAACATGTCGCGCTTTTGCAAAAGACATGTCATGTCGCTGATGAGATGTATCTGTCTAGACCCAATGTCGCGAACAATGCTTTTTGAACATGGGTCATGGATGACCTCAAGTATAGGTCACTACACCAGCCTCAACGATGCCAGACGGGCCAGCAAGTGGGACATGGGCGCGGTCCAAACGACCTGCGAAAAAATAGTAACAGCCAAGCGAGAGCGGACTTATGGAGAGTATAGTGGTGGGCCGTGCTAGCGGCAGCTATACCGTCCATTTGCGTCCGTTTATTTTTTCTCACTGTAAAACAGGAAAAGACAGCATATTCCTTTCGTCGTAGATCCATGTTCTTCAGCTTATGAATTATATAAAGCACGGTGATACTCTTCTGTTTTACATCTATGGTACTCTAGCCATCTCTCTTCCAGGGTATATGCAGGGGAACCATGCTATGATTCGTCCATTATCGCATTCAAGACCTTGGCATGTGGCGAGTGCGTCCTTGGAAAAACCAAGGCTAAGCTCCAACATATGGGTTTGCTTGGAACAAAGAGCATGAATATGGGTGCTCAAGTAGGGCGAGATGCACAAACAAATGACATGATTGGGAGAAACGGTTTAGTAATTGTAATGGGGTGGATATCTCCCCGCTTTTTGCTGCAACGTAAGCCGAGATTGCAAGAATACACAGTATCGGTTTACTTGGAACAAAGAGCATGAATAGTTATCATGAATAGTAGTCATTGGAAAATGACGCTGGTAAAGATGTCCAAATAAAAAAAAGCAATCTGAATATGCGTGCATTGAAGGTAAATCCCCCGCACTTGGAAATGCCGTCGCTCAAGCATAAAAGAATCATCCTCTGCATCCCCTCCGCTCCTTTGTCCGTATCTAGTCTTCCTACTACTTGTCTTTTAACATCTCCCATTCCTAACCCTAACCTACTTCTCACGTGCTTAGCATTCCAACCTCAACTTATCAGCAATTACCACTCCAACCACACTGACTCATTCGAACCCAAACATTTTTCTCAAGTGAGTTTTTCCCACGCGAATTGGGCTTTTGTTGGGCCATAACGGGGCCGCTTCTCTCCTTCCTTCACCTGTCGGGTCTGTTGCTCTTGGGGTTTAGAGCTTGTATTTTTTTATTTCTTTTTTTTGGGCTTTCGCCATCCGTCATCGTCGTCGTCGTCGTTTGTTACTGTCATTGTTATTCGGCTGTGTTGGGCCGGTTAACGGAATAGTTGGGGGCTTGTTTTTTGATAGTGGTGCGTTGGAGATAAAAGTTGCAGTCCCGGGCCCGTGTTGTCATCGTTCTTTTCCGTTTTGCTGACCTAGTTTCTCTTCTTCTTCTTTTTTCTATCCAACTTACCTTGTTCTTTTGTCTCCTCCCCTGGTGTCTTCCTGTCCTCACGCACTTTGGGCTCCCTCGCTTTCAACTGTCGAATCCGCCGCACAACATTCGGACGTCATCCGTTGCAATTTCCATCATCTTTTGTTTTCGGCTCATTCAAACGATTGGGTTATCGGATGCGCCTCGGTTCACTCTGCGAATTTCCTTGTATTCAACTTGCACACGTTACATTTCTTGCCGCGCATCGGCCATCACTTCATCGACGTGCGGATCCCGGATTGTCATGCATGACGTTCGCGCCTTTCCTCGTCGATACCTTACCACGGTGTTTGCTGACTGTCTCAAACTTTACGCCTTGTTTGACGCTCCTACGCTGTTTTCGACTTTTATCGGGATTCATCACGTTTCGTCATGCACCACCACACCTCGACACATGTCCATCGCGGTTCATGACAATGCATTAGCATGCTTTTTCCTCTTTTCAAGAAAGCTACCAAGGTTTCTTCTTCCGACGCTACCACTGCCACTGCTACTACCAGCGCCAAAGGTCCTATCAACAGAGTCTCGCACTCCTTGTTTTCGCTTGCACGCCAACAGTCCTTTGCAAGCGTCAACGAGTCCCAGTGCTTCCAAGAGGTCTACGTCAAGGAAGCGGCTCGCCTGGTCAACGAGAGCCGCGACTATTTCGCCAACGAAGAGGGCGAAGAAGACTCTATCCCCGCCCTTGTCCCCGTCCATCAAAGGGGGACCAACGGTACCGGACGCAAGCGTCACGGACCAAAGGACGCTCGCCGCGCAGCCCACAAGAGCGCCGAGCGCGTCAAGGCCAGGTTTCACCGCCTGGTCTTAGCCCTTGCGACACCTATTACGTCGCTGGCCGCCCCACCCGCCGAACCCACCATGCCTGCCCCCAACGCACAAGGCGCACCCGGCTCCAACGCCGCAGCTCCAAATGCGTCCCCCCAGGCCACCCAAGCCCGCCACGATAGCGCCAACCGCCATCGCCACCACCATTCCCAGGGTAGCGCCAAGATCGGCTACTCTACGGGGCCAACTATCGTTGGCGGGCACTTTAAGGTTGGGAAGAAGATTGGAGAAGGATCCTTTGGGATCATTTACGAAGGTTAGCATGACATTGTGTTTTTATTTAATATTTCGCTCTGGACTGACGTTTGTTTGCATTAATTAGGTGTGAACCTCAAGACCAACACACCTGTCGCGATAAAGTTCGAGCCCCGGAAGGCCGAAACCCCACAGCTGCGCGACGAGTACCGCACCTACAAGATCCTGTCGGGGTGCGCGGGGATCCCGTCGTGCTACTACTTTGGCCAGGAAGGGCTCCACAGTGTCCTGGTCATTGACCTCCTCGGGCCAAGTTTGGAGGACGTGTTCGATTTATGCGGCCGCAAGTTCAGTGTCAAGACGGTCTGCATGTTGGCGAAGCGGATGATCAGGTTGGTGCAGGTAGTCCATGAGCACAACCTGGTGTACCGCGACATCAAGCCGGACAACTTCCTCATCGGGAGGATCCCCCGATACAACGAGAAGGTCACGACGGATCCGGAGAGTGCGGATCCATACAGCATCGTAGAGAACCACTCGTTGGAGAGCCCGTCGCCGGCGTCGCAAATATACCTCGTCGACTTTGGTATGGTCAAGCAGTACCGGGATCCGAGGACTGGTGTCCACATTCCCTTCCGCGAGAAGAAGAGTCTCTCGGGTACGGCGAGGTATATGTCCATCCACACCCACCTTGGCAGAGAGCAAGGGCGGCGCGACGACATGGAGGCTCTCGGCCATGTGTTCTTCTACCTGTTGAACGGGCACCTCCCATGGCAAGGACTCAAGGCCACGTCAAACAGACAAAAGTATGAACGAATCGGGGAGGTCAAACAAGCCGTCAGGATTGACGATCTTGGGCGACCCAACCCCGAGGAGTTCTGCTTTTACCTCGAGTACGCCAGATCAATGGCGTTTGACGAAGAGCCCAACTATGACGGGGCCTGCGAGATGATTGACCAGGTGATGAAGAAGAACAACCTGGTCGATGACGGGGTGTTCGACTGGATGGAGGTGCTGGACGAGCAGCGGGAGGCCAAGAGAGAGCGGGAGGAACGCCGGCTCCGGATGACAGAAGAGGAGCGGCGCGACGATGATCGCCGGGAGAGGGAGGAGAGGTTGGAGAGGGAGAGGGAGGAGCGGTACGAGCAGGAGCGGCGAAGGCTCGAGTACGAGAGGGAGGTGTTGTGGCGGAGTCCCAAGCTGCGGGAGCAGATGGGATCGTACTTTTCGTCATCGCCAGCGGGGTCGACGGGAGTACCACCAGCAAAACCCCACAACAGCCTCCAGCCAATCCAGGGGGGTTCCCAGGTCCAAAAGTCTGGGTCCGCGCTCCATGCTCGAGGCGGCCTGCGGGAGCAAGGCCAAGGGGCGAGTCGGGGAGAGGGGTCAGGGACGGGGCAGCGGGCGTCGGCAGCGGAGGTGCCTGAGACCGGGGCGGCGGTGAAGGCAGAGGCGGCACCGCAGGCGGTGGCAGCACCTGCGGGGGGCACGCAGACTCAAGGGGGAGGGGAAGCGCAGGGGCGGCAGGCGGTGGATGGGCGAAAGTCGCGGCGGCGGTGGTGGCACAAGATGTTTGTGTGGTGTGGGATTGGGGGGAGCAAGTAAAGGGGCCGTGCGGCGACGGGGGTTGAGGGCGTTGGCGGTTGGGGGCGACTTGCGGTGGAGGGTCCTTGAGCGGTGTGGATTAGACGGCGACGGGGGAGACCGAGCAGCGAACGGAATGAAAGAACGAAAAGAAAAAAAGAAAAGCGTGTAATAAAGACGGGGCAAGAACTGTTCATTTTTTTCTTTTTGGGAAAGCCTTACTCGACAACGGGGGTTGAGTTGAGGTTCCTCAAAAAAGAGAAAACCTTGTAATATTCCGCACCGACGGAAAAAGTCAAACTTGGGGGGGCGACTTGAGAAAAAAGGAATTAGTAGGGAAAGTTAATGGTGTTCCCTGAATATATCAATTATTATTTTTTTTTTCCTTTCTTAATGATATGGACCTCGTTTTCTCTTGTTTCTGTCCTTGTTATCAATTGTTGTGTGTTTTTTTTGTCTTGACGTATAAGACTTTGTGTGCAATGCGTGTTTTTGTGGTGTAGACATGCCACTCTCCTTGGGTGCCATCAAAGGAATGGACAACGCCGATCCTTTGTTAAGATGCTATTCATCACATGGTTAAGCTGCTCATAAAACCTCTTGCTTTTGTCGGTTTGTATTCGTTCCTGGATGTTGTAATCGTCCGCCTTTTTCTGCATGTGGTAGTTGCTGATGATGGATTGGGGACTTAATTGTGTTTGTGTGTGTGGATTTGATGTGAATGGTGGTGTTCAAGGTGGGTCATTACTCGATAGGATGGACATTGTTGTAAATGGTAGGTGATATGGAGTAAAGGTTGGCGCTGCTATGTACTTTTTTTTAAAAAAAAAAACAAAACCATATTGATAATGTATCGTTTGGTAGAAGCTGTACATTGAGAACCCTTTCATGTATTTACCTTGATTTCAGATACATCCGCGCCTGTACTTCAACGTTACAGATATAATGAAAGTACTTTTTTTTTACTGCGCGGCTTTGTCACTTTGCTTCATTACCCACTTTTTTTGTGTAGTATAGAGTGATTTGTGCGGTGTTTGTAACGGGTTTTCACCCCTCAAGGTGGTTCCATGGGAGGTCAATAGTAGCTTTTAATAAATCACATCCATTCTGCGTTTTAGTGGGCTTCAACAGATCATGTAGAAACACTACATGTAGCAACTGTTGGGGCATTATAACTATCGTAGATGCAAATGGGTTTTACCAATGATCGATAGATGAGCTTGAGCGGTTTAAATGATTTGGCGACAAAACGGTCCAGTTCTAAATCCATATAGATAAAAGGCAAGCAGAAGCAACACGGGTGCCATCATTATCACCAAAAGTACCGAATTTCTATGGTTTGGTGCAATGTGGATGCGGTCATTGTTTGGTTTTGTTTATATTGAGTGGGGTTGCGTTCAACGTGATCATCCATTACACGACGTATATCCTGGGTAATACCTAGGGATATTAAATATTTTTGAATACGTACAGACTTCGTGAGTGAGTGCGGTTGGTGGATGATGCAGCAAAGATGGGCAGTGGAAACATTTAGTGGAATTGCGGCTATATGGGGAATAAACGGAATTAAACGCTTGTAGATGAGGTCGTTTTGCAGCTCCCAGTTGAATGCACTAGCCTAACTGAGGGACCTGGAGACGAGCCGGCAGCTCCTACGAGTTGGATGCGCTTCCTGTTCAGGGACTATAGGTCTTTAAACAGGTTTGAAATTTGCTCTTGCAGAGAGCCGTTGGTCGATTTGTTTATACTCGATGGTTTGGCGCCCCGTTCATGGGGCTAGATGTGTCTGTAGTGTAATATCCCAGTTAATTCATGCGGAGACAATCCAGCGAGGTTGGATTAATTTACCAGGATCTGAGTATATGATTAGATTCCTGGATTTTTGAAGATTTTGGAAAGTAAAGCGTATATTTAAGACTGATGTCGCAGTGACGAATAACATCATGCCAATCCCAAGAACAAAACTAAACAAATACTGGGTGGTGTTGCGTGTTGCTTCAACGTGAGCATCCATTACACGACGTATATACTGGGTAATACCTAGCGATTGTATATATTGATTGAATCACTGTAGTGGATGGATTAAGATGAGAAGATGGGTGCGGGTCTTGTCGCAAAATTGGAAATATTTATTGTAGTTCCAGCTATGTGGGGAAATAGAATGGTTTGGTTTGTTTATAATCACTGGTTTGGGTGCCCGTTCGTAAGGAAGGGGGATCTTAAAGACGGATGTCGCAGTTACGAATACCATCATGCCGATCCCAAGAACAAACAAAACAAATATATTTATTAAACTTCTGTTTTCTTGTGGTGGGGGGTCAGAATGGCTTGACGGAGCTTGCGGGCTTATTGCAGAATCACGATCGACATGATATCATCACTTGCAAACACGTCAGGCAAGCTTTTGAACATGGTTTTTCTTGAAGCTTTTGACGATGGCTTGCCATGGGAATACCAAGAAAGGATATCCGTGCAGCTTTAAGGATACTACTGGTTACGGTTACTGCGGAAAACATGTTGGGTGTGCTCTGAAGTTGGAGGGGATACCGCCGCTTCATGTGAAAAAGCCATCCAAGAAGACCCATTCACATGGTACAGAGGGGAGCTGTGAGCCCCAATATGACTACTACCGGATCAGCTATGGGCCATCCTACCTACCCGAGTATCCAGTCGAGCCCCAATATGACGACTACGAATATAACTCTGATGAGACACTCTACCTAACCCAGCATCCCGTCACACGCTGGTTTGGGCCCAAGCTCGACAAAGAGCGTGAGGCTCGCGAACTTGCTTTTTGTGACGAGGTCGAAAATACCAAGCCGTCAGACGAATGGGTCAAGAGGCAGCACGAATACTTGAACGCCAATCCATCTTTACGACAGTTGCTTGATATGGTGATGAGTAGTACCAGTGAATTTAGACCAAAGGGAAAACAATTGCCATCGAATCTTCGTCTTTTGATCAAGGTACTACCTTTGCACGATTCCACCAATTCACTGAACTGACGTTTGCTAATAGGGAATTTGGGAAGCACCACGGACAGACCGCGATATTATTGTGTTTCATGGCAGACCCCAGCCAACCCTCGAACTAGACGGCTTACGGACGCTCTGCACTTCATATGATTATGATTGCGCCAAAAGATTTGGTGGATGGGTCCTTCGGCTCAGAATCCCACAGGGAACGCCGGCGATCTTTATCGGTGGAGACGAGGACGAGATTCTCTTGCCTCCAGGATTCCTGACGAAAGGAGGGTATCATAGTCCCGTGGATTCTATTAAGATGCCATCAGCGACATTCATATGGCGCGAGGATCTCAACCTCGACGGGTGAAAACACTGGATGAATTTGATCGCCGCCTTTTCTCGCACACTAGAAGCCATGAGACGATATTGACCATAGGATCAAGTGATGAACACAGAGGATAGCCTTTTTAAATCCATTCGCATCCAATTAGCAGACATGTCGAAAAACAAGCACAAGAAGGAGCACAACTCGGCAAAGTGATTTCTTATCCTTAAAGCATTTCTTGCGTGATTCAAAAGGGGCGATTTATGTCCAACCGGAGACTGCGGCAACATTGTTCATACTCGAAAAACACCATAATGAATGCAATTTGGAGAGTGTTTTTGTTATCTGCTGGTCTTTCCGTGCCGACGAAATGCCCCCAAACTAGCATGCAACTAGTAGCAGTATGGAGATTTCAGTCTTTTTGTGCGATGCATGTATTTTTAAATATCATCTTGATGTCATTTGTGTGTTGTCGTGGTCCTGTGATTTTGGAGTCGTATTTTTTGATATACCTTTGAAAGCCATGTAAATCTCTAATTCATCAGATTCACAGTTGCAATTTCACAATGGAAGCTGCAAGTAATGGGAAATCATCATTACATGGAGGACCCCATTGCAATTTATACAAGCTCGTATGGTTTAGTGGCATAACGTCGCCTTCACACGGCGAAGGTCCTCAGTTCGATCCTGAGTACGAGTATCCCTCAAGCGGTGAAAAACATTTTTTTATATGCGTTCGGCGTTCCATACTCAAGATCCTTCTTTAGTGTCAGACGGATATCCTGCAAATGCTGCTCATGATACGCAGTCCATATTTAACATTCTTCTGCTCTATTTCCATTTGATGATCTCATCATCATGATATAAGTCATTGCAGTTTACTTTTGCCGAATCAATCATCATCTCTCTCCTCCCGGATTCTGCCGAAAGAAAAAGGTCTCCAGACCTTTTATCAAAAATTGTTTTTGTTTTTCTTGTTGCTTCCTTGGAGACCAAACGGGCAACGAGATGCAGTGGCGTAGTCATGTTAAAAGATTTCATATTCATGCCACTTTCCCACGCGCCCCCCGTTTCCCCCCGGTTGGAATTCGAGTTTTTCTTGTGTGAGTTTTGAACTGACCTTTTTGTTCATCTTGCATTTCATCCCTCATCCCGCTCCTCAAGTGTGTGGAGAAGGAGAAAAGTAACTTTGACTCCTACATAATACCCCATACGAAACTAGTCACACTTGCATAGCACTGCAGCAATGCTCGTGCCCAAAACCATCACAAAGGTATGTATATCTTACTGGCAAGATGGAGGCAAGATGGGCGGAGCGACGAGAAAACTGTCTGGTGTTTTGGGTGGGATGAGTATAGGCTTGATGGAACAATCTATGGTGCCATTATAGCTGTTGCAATGATCAGATAGCATGTATTTTTGTCGGATTTGAGAAAGATTCGATATTGATAAAAAGTTTCCGATGGTTTATGCAGGCTGCCCGCAGCAGCGGTGTTATCCGCACCATATCGGCACGCGGATATGCCAGAATTGCCGACACAAAGGTCGCAATGTCTCAGTTTGAGCAGGAAAAGTTCATCAACTACCAGCGTATCGAAGACAACTTGAAGATTGTTCGCGACAGGTGAGTTACTCAGTGTGTGATTACTACTTGTGCTTATGATGTGTGTTGACTTTGAACGCTGCGATACAGACTTCAGCACCCTCTTACGTTGGCTGAGAAGATCGTCTATGGTCACTTGGACGACGCCAAGAACCAGGACATCAAGCGGGGATCCTCCTACTTGAAGCTCCGTCCTGACCGTGTTGCGTGTCAGGATGCCACCGCCCAAATGGCTCTTCTGCAATTCATGTCCGCCGGTCTTCCCACTGTCGCTGTCCCTACCACCGTCCACTGTGATCACTTGATTGAGGCCCAGAAGGGCGGAGACAAGGATCTTCCCCGCGCTGAGGAAATCAACCGTGAAGTCTACGACTTTTTGGCCACATGCACAGCCAAGTACGGCATCGGTTTCTGGAAGCCAGGATCTGGTATCATTCACCAAATCATCCTCGAGAACTACGCTTTCCCTGGTGGTATGATGATCGGTACCGACTCTCACACACCTAACGCTGGTGGTTTGGGTATGGTCGCCGTCGGTGTGGGTGGTGCCGATGCTGTTGATGTCATGGCCAACATTCCCTGGGAATTGAAGTGCCCCAAGGTTATTGGTGTCAAGCTTACCGGCAAGATGAACGGATGGACCTCTCCCAAGGGTGAGTCTTTGGTTACAACGTACGTGTGAAGCGTATCGCTTTTGACCATTATTCTTCTTGCAGACGTCATCTTGAAGGTTGCTGGTATCCTCACTGTCAAAGGTGGTACAGGTGCCATTGTTGAATACTTTGGCTCTGGTGTCGACTCCATCTCTTGCACTGGTATGGCTACCATCTGTAACATGGGTGCTGAAATTGGTGCCACCACCAGTTTGTTCCCTTACAACCACCGTATGGCCGACTACCTTTCGGCTACCAACCGTTCTGACATTGCTCAGTACGCCAACACCTTCCGCCACAACCTCACTGCCGACGAGGGTGCCAAGTGAGTGCGAAAATAGAAAGCGTGTTGTATGTATGCCGTCGCTCATCTATTTGCTATTATCTAGGTACGACCAGGTCATTGAAATTGACTTGAACACCTTGGAGCCCCACATCAACGGTCCTTTCACCCCCGATCTTGCCACCCCCATCAGCAAGTTCGCTGCCGCTGTTGAGAAAAACAACTGGCCCGCAGAAATGAAGGTGGGAATGACTTGAACAGAGTTTGTAGTCGGGAAATCTGTACTAATCGTATGTTCAACAGGTTGGTTTGATTGGATCTTGCACCAACTCCTCCTACGAGGACATGGACCGCGCTGCCAGCTTGGCCAAGCAAGCCCTTGATGCTGGTGTGAAGGCCAAGTCCCAGTTCGTCGTGACCCCTGGTTCCGAGCAAATTCGTGCTACCATTGCTCGCGACGGTCAAATGGAGATCTTTGAGAAGATTAACGGAACTGTTTTGGGTACGTTTGTGATAGAGTGATGCCATGATATAGACATTCGCCCTAACCTCGCATGTTTGGCTAGCCAATGCCTGTGGTCCTTGTATCGGTCAATGGGATCGTCAGGACGTGAAGAAGGGCGAGGCCAACTCCATTGTGACTTCATACAACCGTAACTTTACTGGTCGTAACGATGCCAACCCTGCCACCCACGCTTTCGTCACCAGCCCTGAGCTTGTCACCGCCATGGTTTTCGCTGGCGACCTTCGTTTCAACCCCTTGACGGACAGTCTCAAGACCGCCGACGGCAAAGAGTTCAAGTTCAAGGCTCCCTACGGCGAGGAGCTTCCCCCCAAGGGTTACGACCCTGGCATGAACACCTACCAGGCTCCCCCCGCTGATCGCTCGAACGTCAGCGTCAAGGTGTCTCCTACTTCGAACCGTCTTCAGCTCCTTACCCCCTTCAGCAAGTGGAACGGAAAGGACTACGAAGAGATCCCAATTCTGATCAAGGTCAAGGGCAAGTGTACCACTGACCATATCTCCATGGCTGGTCCCTGGCTCAAGTACCGTGGTCACCTGGACAACATCTCCAACAACATGTTGATCGGTGCCATCAACTCTGAGAACGGCAAGGCCAACTCTGTCAAGAACCTCCTCAACGGACAATTTGAGCCCGTTCCCCAGACTGCTCGTGCCTACAAGGCTGCCAACATCCCCTGGGTGGTGATTGGTGACGAGAACTATGGTGAAGGTTCTTCCCGTGAGCACGCTGCTCTCGAGGTTCGTCACCTTGGTGGTGTTGCCGTCATTGTCAAGTCATTCGCTCGTATCCACGAGACTAACTTGAAGAAGCAAGGTGTCCTCCCCTTGACTTTTGCCGACCCCAAGGACTATGACAAGATTGAACCCTCGGACAAGGTGTCCATCATTGGTCTTACAAGCTTTGGTCCTGGAAAGCCCGTGACTCTGCGACTCACCAAGAAGGATGGAAAGAAGGTTGACATCAAGCTCAACCACACCTTCAACGAAGGCCAGATCGAATGGTTCAAGGCTGGTAGTGCATTGAATTTGATGGCTGCCGCTGCCAATGCGCGTGCATAAGCGCATTACAGTATCGAGAGGGAGTTCTTGGCATCTGCAGTTCACGCACAGAGTGATCATATCTCCGTATGCAATTGCTCTGATATTCTAATCACTGAGGTTATGATACCCTATCCATAGGGGATGGAGAGGTGGATGGTTGGCGGAGACATGGTCATAATTGTACAGTAGTTCATCTTTTTGTTTTTCCATGCGTGCGTCACAGGATTTAATTGAGGCTTCATTTGGCTGAAAAGAAATATTATCAATGGCTGCCATTTGTTCACTGTTGCTTTTTTTGTGTAATTGCGATTGTCTGGTTTTGGCAAAGCCCCAGGAATAGAGATTTCACAATGCTTGTCAAGTCAAAGTATACAAGTCGACTGTTTGAGTTTTCCACATTTGCGCCAAATATTGGAAGGTACAGATCTTGAATTGCTAATTAATTTTCATATTTTGGCAGTATGGCAGTATGGCAGAGGACGCACGTTGTCCTGTGCCGGAATTCAGGTAGCGCGCTTCATCATCGAAAGGCTCGGCGAGGTCGTCAAGGCAAAGCGCGGCGCGCGCTGCGGCGAACTCGACATCCTGTGGGACATGGTGGCGCCGAACGGGCGAGATATCTTCGAAACTGAAAGTTCTCTGCGCCATGCCCGCATCGATGGAGGAAGCGGAGCTATACCACAGCAAGCTCACCGCGCTCGTCGGCACGTGGCAGCTAGACGGGGACTCGGATTCCGAGAATCGGAAGATGGGCAACAAGACACTGATTCTGTATCGTAGCAATGACACGTACATACGATCCCAGAACAACACGTAACAAATGATTTCAAAATACAACAAGAATAACAAATACAACAAGAATCCCTAACCCTAACCCCATCCTCTGGGTACGACTGTTACGGCTACTCTCCCGCGTTGTGTTCACCAGTCAGGGTTGAACCGCTTCCTTACTTCCGCCGTCCCTCACATCTCGGCTCCTTTGTTCTTTCCCCTCTCTTCCTCTCTTCGCCTCTCTTCGCCTGTACTTCTCAAACGCCTCCCTCCTTTTCAACCCTCGTCCATCCCCTTCATACCGCCAAAATGCTTCATGACTCGCTAGAAAGTTCTCTCCGCTCGTCAACTTTCCTCTCAACTCCCTATTCTTTAGCTGCTGGTACTCGGATTGAACATTATCAAACGGGTCACACCAAGAGCAACAAGGAGACTCGCGAGGTTCCTTGCCGTGGTGCCATTTCGACCTGTCGTACGAGCCGTCGTGCCGCTGTAAACATATACAGTGTCTTTTCGAAGGAGAATCAACGCGATACCATGGTGGAGAGCCGGGATCGTCTGATAAACCTTTGGTAAGTTGTTTTAGGGTTTGCTGTATGGACGGAATGTTGGGGAAGGAATCGGGAATGAGTTGTGGATGACGATAGAGAAAGCTCGCTATTTGTCGATAGGCGATGGCGTAGATTTCGTACACGGGCGTGTTCGTGGGAAGCCATTTTCGTCCTGTCCAGGTAGGAATCGATTTTGGAGATTTCGAGGTTAAATCCCTGAGAAGTGCTTTGCGTTGCTGTCTGTGAACCGCGATTGCACCGGAAATGTACACCTTCCAATTGGTTGTCTGCTCTTTCGTTGGAATGACTTGTTCCATTCCTTGCAATTGGACAACCACATCCAGCTCCTGCACTGCGTTCGGAGTGAATATATTCTCTCCCATAAGCATTGCCTGAACCAATGTCTGCATCGTCATTCTCTTGATGATTTGCGCCCGACACTCCGACTGATCAACGATTACAACATCTTCAGCTGAGAGATCCAGCCAAGCGCTGATCTGCACCCTATCCCTTGTCCTCCCAAAGGATGACAATTCACCGAGTTCCCACCACATCCACTCCTTCCTATCATCTTTAGCAAACAAGCAACCCATCAAAACCCAAGATCCGCACAAGAAAGAGCGCAGGTGAATTGGAGCAGCCAATACCAAATCAATGAATTTATCAAAATCATAGCTATATCCAGCCTTCAGTAATTTCTTTGTCCTCTTCGCAAGCTTAGATGATGATTTCTCTACCCAGTCGTATGCAAAAGAGCGCTCAAGTCCCAATTCTTTTGCGTATTCGGCGACGGCGAGGGTCTCTTTGTCGATGGCGTTGAAATGAGGGTTAAGGTGCGGTTGCAGGTAATTTTTCCATATGGAGGCGATGGCGTGTGTGGTGAGACTGTGTGGTTTTGGGATATCCGTAGGTGGAGTAATTAAAGATAGAACACCGTGTGACCGGATATGCGGCTGCCCAAGAAACGTTGTGGTGAACTCGCACCAGTATTTCTCCCATGATAGTTGCTTTTGGGATTTTCGCATTATGGGATGTTTACTGTTTATCTTTGAGCAGAAATGAGGAGAAGAGTTGCTTTGCGAAAGGACTGAGAGGAACAGTCACGCAGGAAAAGGCATTTCGGAACCCTAACCCTAACCAGCCTCAACGACTAAGCCTCCTAAACAATTAGACATTGACAACCAAACGACACAATGTGGCCTCAACTCTCCGCCGTCCTCCGGGTGAGCGAACCAACGCAGGAGGTATTTCAGATAGAGGTACAGGAGGCACACCGCCCTGTCTGACTTTCGCACCCAGTAGGTGAGCACCATCTGACAGCCGCGGCGCGTCCCGCAGGAGGGCCTTGATCACTTGAGGATCCATCGCGGCTTCCCATGGAAACAGACCTGACAACAGCCATATGACCAGGTTAGCGACACTCTCTCACTGCGTGCGGGTGCTCCGGGGCGGTATCATGTGGGAGACCCACGATAGGACGTCCGCCAACGAGACCAATTGTCGAGCGAAGCGGGGACCCGACTCTTCGCCGTTACCGGAAGACTCGCAAAGGCCGTGAATTCGGTAAGAGTGTCTGCCAATTCAATGATCGGTCTTGGAGCACACGCCGACATGTCATTGCTGCGGAGTGCGAGATGGTACTGTAATGATGAGGACGTCTTTGAGAAATCGCGGGCATGCCAAATGAGGATGCGAGTGAATTGTGCAACCAACTCCTCAAACCGGGATACCGCGACCGAAAAATCCGGTTCGGTAAATTGCAACCAATCGCATTAGATTCCGGCATGCCTCGTGAGACCCCGTGAATGCCCAGAAAAGACAGTACCGCGTAATCAGTTGAAGTGCACTAGTTTGGTTTATCTGGAGAATCTTGTATAAAAAGAATGTATTCAATAGAGCAACGTCGTGAGGCAGAAGCCATAGCGACACCAAAATCCCCATAGCTAGCTTCTCAACTCTAACTTTAAGTCCCCAGGAACCAGGATTCATTGTTTTCTGTCCGTTGTTTGAGTTTTTCTACATGCGCCAAATCGGTTGGAAAGTACAGATCTTAAATTGCTAATTCATTTTTAGATTCAAGCCAATTTTTTCAGGCTCAATGTCTTGCATACGATGAAAGGCGACAGCCTTCTGATGCGTTCCATTCAGCTTGTCAGAAGGCTGACGCTGCACGCCACGTCTTTGCATGCCCGATCATCCCTAAACTCCCGGAGATTGCTACTAAACACGATATCCACGTCGATCTTCTCAAACTTACCCTTTCCCTCATCGTTTCGTCGCGCTCTGGAAGAACGCCGCACAAAGATCAACCCTTGACAAAAGCCAAAGCACTCGTATACTATAGGGTTAGGGTTACTACTTGGAGGGCCCAACTGTGAAGATTCTGTAACGTCGCTGTACCCCACTCCGGTTGTAGTTGTTGGCAGGCTTGCTGTCTATCAAAAGCGTATCTACTTTTCCCGGAAACCCCACTTTCAGCAAGGTCAATTATCTTGTTCTTTAGTCATCTTGCATCTGTATAGAAGAGGGGGCGCCTGTATAGTAGAGGGGGCGAGTAGAGGGGGGAGCCTGTATAGTAGAGGGGGGAGCCTGTATAGTAGAGGGGGGTCTGTATAGCAGAGGAGAGTCTATATAGTAGAGGGGGAACCTGTATAGCATCTGTCGGCCTGTATAGCAAAGTGGTCAATGCGTCAGTCTTGTAAACTGAAGGTCCCAGGTTCGACTCCTGGTGCAGGCACTTTGCGTTGGTAAGTAAAAACTTTTTTTTTTCTACAGTAGACGCTGGGTTTTCCTGGCTGTGCTCTTTACTGCAGGCATTCCAAGGTCAGAGTTTCGGGCTTTCCGACCGTTGCTCTTAACTTCACTTTTTTAATTATCCGCCCCGTTCGCTGCTGTTACGGTGAAAGACTGATTGTGTTGTCATCCCTGCAGGCATAAGTGGAGTTCCTCAATGTTTTTTTTGTGAAATGGACACGGCTATGCTAATTGGTTTCCAGGCCTTCATCTTCATTGCACATCTAACCCTCATCCGTTCCATCTCCCACTGCTATGGTGGAGGACTGATTGTGTTGTCATCATGTATGATTTTTGCTGCAAGAACTATTGTGAATTATGAACAGACGCGATGACGTTATCTGGTAGAGTGAGTAGCTATTCTACCTTTTTGATGCACCGCGGTCTTGACTTATGCTGGGTCGTTATCTGAATAATCCTCAAACCCAGACTTTGTGTTTGCGTGTCTCATTTCCTCACATTCGTTCACTTGTCTCTATAATGGGGGATGTAGGTATCCGATCCAATCAGGAAGTTTTTGATGTGGTGGTCGTGGGAGCGGGCATGGCTGGTCTAAGTGCAGGTTAGTGGGATCTTTGCTTGTCATACTGTCCATTAGATGCTGATGAGACCAAGTGCAGGTTAGTGGGATCTTTGCTTGTCACACTGTCGATTAGATGCTGATAAAACTTTCCATGTTTCCGTCATGTTCTTGGTTTCGGACCGTCAGCCAATATACTTCATCGTGCGGGATTGTCAGTTGTTGTGCTGGAAGCTCGGGACCGCATTGGGGGACGGATACATACTTGCATGGATCTTGGGCGGCCGGTTGATTTGGGGGCAAGGTGAGATCAGCGAAATGGATACTACTGCGTAAACGAACTCTGCGTAAAGTTGTTCTCACTCTTCTAAAGCTGGATTCATGGGACCGATGGGAACCCCCTTGCGTCCATTCTCCCCTCAAAACGCATATCAACGTCTTCAAGATCCTTATTATTCCGTCCAGACAATTTTCAACCCATTCCAATGGACGATGGAGAGGCGCTTTGGGAAAAGTTTTGGGCGCTGCGCGAACGTATGGGAGAGGCTGCCAAGCGCGGACATGGGGATGTATCCATAAAGGAGTTTGTTGATTCCGATCCTGAGTGGAAGAGTGCCGTTCAAGAGGTGATGAAGCGTTGCTTTTTAGATATTGCGAAGAACGTTCAATGGACTTTACACGATGTGTGCGTGTTGTTGTATAGACGCCATTGTCACAACTGATGCTTCCCCGTATGACTCAGCTACTAGAGTCAATTGAGGCAGCGGCTTTGGAAAAATGCTCTATTAAAGAGTTTGAGGTTGACGAGTATCCGGGAGAACAGGCTTGGCTAATTGATGGATATATGCCTGTATTGGAACAAGTCGCAAAAGACATTTTGAAAACTGATGGAGCCGTACGGCTGAATGACGAGGTTGTAAAGATTGATTACAGTGGAGGTTAGTGCCTTGAAATGGATACCAAATGATAGTATGTTTGCATGCTGATTGATAGTCATCAGATTGTGACGGCGGAACTAGTTCCCAACAACCGCTGGTGAACATAACCACCGCGTCGGACATTGTTTATGTTGCCCGGAAATGTTTGGTAACGATTCCACTTGGAGTAATGCAAAACAAGCACACGAGTCTTTTCGTCCCTCCACTTCCTACTGCAAAGCAGCAATCCTTGAACAAGATCGGTTTTGGACTTCTCGACAAGATCTGTCTCCGCTTCCCCTATCGATTTTGGCCCAACGACGTCGATTTTATCGAAGCTTTTTCAGAAAGGTTGCCATACCCAGGTCTCACTTCCTTTATCATTGCAAAAGGAGATGAACATGACGACCATATCTTGGTGGCATTCGCTAGCGTAAAGGCAGCTGATATGATTGAATCCATGGCAGATGCGGAGGTCACCGAACTGGTGATGCAGGTCCTGCAAAAGTGTTTCAGTCATATGGGACAGATTGTGCCTTACCCCGAGCAGGTAGTCATTACGAGATGGGGGAAAGATCCCTTTGCCAGAGGAAGTTATTCGGTGGGTGCATTTGTTTCGTTGTCGAGTGACTTATCTCTAATAACGCAACACCACAGCACATGCAGACTGGACGGACGACCCACGAAGATAGGGAAGAGTTGGCCAAACCTTTACCTGACCTGATGAGCGGTGAAAAGTTCCCGCGAACACCTACGCTGTTCTTTGCCGGCGAACACACCGTACGGGACCATTTTGCTACGGTTCATGGTGCTCTCTTGAGCGGATGGCGCGAGGCTGAACGTATTCTAAAGGGGTTGCGTAAATAGAGCAGACTTCTTTCAAGATTTGGTGGACGACATCATGTCAGTGCACATTGCGGGACGTTCGGTCATGATAGATAATAGATGTCACTTGATTATCACGATGCGGGCTCGTGGTTCGCCTCATTGATGCTTGACCCATGCAACGTCTTCAGATATGCGTAGGAACCGGGCCGTTGTTATTCACGTCACCATGGGTTAGGGCTACCGTTCTTGACTACGGGTACTCCTCTCGTCTTATCTCGCTCCTGTGCGTTTTTCGTAGTATTTGCAAAGGGCTTCATTGGGAGTTTCCGCCGCCTTTGTAATCGTCTTTGAGTAGGCACGCTACCATCATTTTTGGGTAGACAGGCAGCTCGCTCATTGAACCCCTCCTCAACCAGTAGAGCCTCGTCAGTATGATGGTCTTGGACATCCACGAAGATACGTCGAATCTGTCTGATTGCGACCTATTCAGACATAAAACAACCGATGGGACACGCGAACGCACAGTAGTCATATGACCAACATGACCCAGTGAAACCGACGTTAATTGAGTTTGGTCGGAAGATTACGCTGTCTGGCTCCAGCATATAGCATAAAAGCACATTAATATTATTAGAGTAGCAGAAAATACAAATGTAACTAAAGGTGCTCACTGGATACTTGGACATCAGCCAATCTACGCCTACCATTAGCTATTCACAACTGCATGAAGCGGGGAAGACCTATATCAGCTACATATCCTTTCTAGACAGGATAGAATCCACCTCATCAAAAAGGGCGACCTTCACCCAACTGTCCATTAGCCGTATCTTCACTCCGGTAGAGTTTGCTTTCTCTTCTAGAAATGTCATTGTTCGATCGAACCGATCTAGCAAGCGGCTTGGCGGTTGAAGAGGCTTTGTCAAAGGACGGGTAAAGTCATCCCAGTGGACGGGGATAACCAGTTTCGCGCCTGTGGCTTCTACCACTTCGCGCCAATACCCCTCTTGATACTCTACAGGTTTTTTCCCGAGCCCTCCGACTCCCAGGAAAACCACGTCTACTTTTGGCAGATGGGGGCGACTCAGTAGATTTGGAACATATCCAGCCGACCCTTGCACAAGTATAGTTCGCTTCGTCCCATTCTTAAAAATGCGAGTGATATACAGAGAGTAGCAGTCACCAACTGGATATGCTCCCATTCTAACTGGCGGTACGAGAGGGTCGGTAAGAATGGGTGACTCATTGCCTGCAATGAATCCAAGAAGAGACGGTAGCTCAATGTGCTCAGTTCTTACGAATAAGAGCTCCCATGCGCTTCCATCGGGGTTGTCAAACCGAACGACCTCGTCATCGTCAGTAATTGTCTGAATCTGAGATTCAGAGAGATTCCAGCCACGTCCTATGAATGCTGTCGTTGAAGATCCCACGAGCTTTGCTCCAGTCAAACGACAGATTTCAGGTGAGTCCATGGCGTGGTCAAAGTGGGAATGCATGGCGACAACGGCCTCAAGCCCTTTCTTGGCCATATCGACGCGGTCCAAGCACTCTTTGATGACGGTGGGGTTAGGGGCTATTTTGCTGAGGAAGAGCTTCTGCTTTCCGGGCCGCGAAAAGTAGCCGTCGGTAAGGATAGAGCTATTTCCGCTTGTAAAGAGCAAAGATGAGACCCCGAAGAATGTGACGAAGAACGTGTCTTCATCCCTTACGCCGGCCGACGATGTTAGAAATAGACGGCGATAGTCAGAGAGGGGGTCCCCTTGCAGCATCACCATGATTGCAAACGCCCCAATTAGCAACGCTCCAAATAGCAGTGTCGACATTGTCTACTGCGGTCAAGCGAGGGACGGGAAAGTCCTTTGCCTCATCTTACTGCCAAGAGGCATAATTTGCCCAAACCGATCGTATTAGGTAAGACGTGTCAGTGGATGAAGAGGTGGGGTTTGAACTTTTGAGCTATTCACAACTGTTTACATTCCTAATGTTGTGCATTGCTTGACAAACTAATATATTCAACAACATATTTGCAGTGCACTATTGTGCCTGTAGGCCTAAAGCTGTTCTACGAGAGACCGACGCTGGGTCAAAGTAAGGCTTTTCACCTAGACTAACTACACGGTTTCCAAAGCGTTTGTAAACAGCGGCATCGTAATCGGGACTAGTATAGAAGATATAGACGGACTCAGTATGATATAATTTAAAGGACGTTGGCAATGGAGAGGAAACTTACGTGGCAGCGTGGTAGGCTGACCGGTTGTCCCAAATCGCTACGTCGTTTGTGTTCCATTTGAAGCGGACCTATTACAAGAGGAGAGCATTCATGAGACTCACATTTTTCACCGTCCAAAACATATTACTAAACTTACCTGCAAATCATGATTCGCATACACGAGCTTGTTAAAGTATTTCAACAGTTTCTCAGATTCGTATTTGGTCACTCCGTTCACATGTCCGACATGGTGCCCGACCGCAAACAAACTCTTCCATCCTGTCACAGGGTTTGTTCTGACCACGGGATGAACGGCCTCTAAATTACCACCGACGTTTTCTGGTGCGCCACGCGGAGCAGTGTGAAGCTCGAAACCGTTTTCTTGCGCTGCCTTCAGAAATCCGGGCTGGGCGTAGGTAGCAGTCAGACCGTCAAGGAACTTTTGGTAAGCGGGAGAAAGGCGGTCATATGCTTCATATCCAGATGCCCATAAGGTATCGCCGCCGGTAGGAGGGATTTGTTTAATTTGGAGAATGGAGTAATCTGAAGGAATTGGCTCAAAAGTAATGTCAGAGTGCCACTGCTCAGATCCGAATCGGTCCCTGTTGATGCCGAAAGCGCTCTTGTAAACTTTCCGGCCTTGTTCAGAGGAGATAACTGAAATCTCGTGATCTTTCTCCCCTCGTTCATTGACCTTGATGCCGTCCTCGCGATCGGCATTGGCAACAGGATGAATGTGCAGCTTGGATGTCGCAGGTTTTCCTGTAAGTTCCCCAAGCTTTTGACCGAGGATCTTTTGTTGTTCGAGAGTCAAATCTTGGTTGCGGAAGAAAACCACGCCGCGTTCGGAAACTATTGTATTTGTATTATAGCGTTATGAGTGTTACGTAGGTTTACAGGAATGTGAAAATATATTTACCAGTGATAGCAAGATCTCGAATTAGCTCATCTGCGTTGGGTGCATTCAGCAGATCCTTAATTTGAACGCTGGGGTATTCGCGGCCAATGTTCACGGTCAAGTCCACGTGCGCGTGCTTGTCAAGAGCTCCGGAGGCTTTCAGAGGTTGGCGCTGCAAGCTGCCTTGGTTGTTGTTCTGCTTGCCTGAAATCGTAGCTGCCTTTAGATTCTGAGCAAGAGCGTGCACGGGCTCAATGATGTGTTCGACGGCGGGAGGCATGTTTCACTTCAGGTTTTGAATGTGCTTCGAAAGATATGCTTGACTGTTGTGGTGTATGGCAGGATGCAGTGGCATGTCGGCGAGAGAGCTCTTTATATACTCGCTCTCCAGCTTGTTCCATCGCGCAAGCAGCTTGAATAAACTATGGAGAGGGTAACGCGTCTTTGTGGATAAGCTAACGTCCTCACTAGATGGCGCGATTGGGCAATATGGATGTCGGCAACCCAACGGTGAAGACGAATGCTCAGCTTATTTGCTCCCCCTGAACGGTTTGTTGAACGCTTTTGCGACTAAAAGAGCTGTGAATAGGATCCCCTCGCTCATTGGCTCCAAAACTTATTGGTTGCTTGTGATTTCTAATACCTTCGTGTGCAAATCAAACAGATGCGCAATCTGACGATGATCTTCTTCCATCTAATCTCTGACTTGGACGTCCAATCTGTGCTGCTATCGGCATAGATGCAAGGGGTGGTTGCCTGAACCGATTATCTTTTGGAGGGCACCATCGTCGTGGGATCACCACCATTGCAACCCATGATGTCCAGACGGGGTAGCGTTAGTGGTCTCGGTAAACTGGTCAATTGCCCATCATTATCTCAGCGTTAACAGTGAATAAGTTCTAAATGTTGTAATTCCAGCGAACTCTCGTTGCGTCGCATGCATCTCAACTCACGGTTTTGGCCTTTCCTTTATAGCCCACGCCGCTTACCTTTATCTAGTTTTTGCGGTAGCCTCTAGGTCAATCAGCTATATCCTCCTTTGGATGTAAAATGGAGAGCGACCTGTGTCCTAAGCCTAAGCTCCCACTAACGCATATCATATCGACATGGCGGCGACATCTCCGGAATCATTTTAGAATCAATATCAAATGACAGCTATAAACCCGATTCGCAAGATACAGTTGATTGTAATAGACTTGGAAGTATGGCATGGACCAATAGCGGGTCAAAGTTATAAAGCCCCTCGTTACTGCCTTACCTCTGGCGTACAACTGGCCGTGAGTGGATTGCATGTTTTGAACGCACAATTGAGATTGCCTCTGCACTCGCTACATCCCTTACAGACGACCTGTACTGCATGTCGGGAGTTGGGCTGCCTGTGATGCCCGTCCCACGTAGTCCATCAATTCATAATTACAATTCTGATCGACCAGACATTCTGTAACATGAACAGATAACCAGCTGGCCCTGCCACCTACTTCGTAGCCCTAGCACTCGCTGCCGATGAAGATTCACGTACGTCCGTCCGCGCACAATGATCCACTGCATAGTTCCCGCATCACCAGCAAGCGGTATCACTGCCAGAGTCCTCTGAACCTTCCAGATCACTATCATTCTCTATCAATAGGGCCATTTATGACCGTACCCGAACAACAATATGCTTCACAGTGTCCTTCTTGGGTAAACGAGAGAATCCAATAATACCTTTCCACCGAACTGGCTTACGACCGTTTGCGCACAGGTAAAGTATTCACTGCATGGTTTGCGCTTGACGTATGGTGAACTCTGCGAGTACAAGTATTCGACTATTGGTACGCCCTTTGTTTTCTCTGTCGATATTAAGCGACGCTCTGAAATGCAGGGATCTTCCGTTGGAATGCATTTGGATGCGAAGTGGCCTTGTAGATGGCACTGGAGACATGTAGTTGTCTTACCAACAAGTGAGCGGTCATTGCCTAACCTCTCGGCCGCGCTTAGAGTCAACCGAAAATATGCTCCTGCGCGAACTTTGTCTGATCCATATCGCTGCATATATTTGAGAGTCAGAGCTGCTTCAGATGTGGACGAGGCGAAAACAGTTTCGACAACTCAAAGCGGGGGATGTAGGCGGTCCATGCTGATCTATTCCGTGTGAATGATCCGCGATGCACAGTGATAAGCCAGTAATCCAGATATGTGGTAATAGTAAAAAAAAAGATTGATATATACGCCGATTGACATAAGAATTTCAACCTGCAAAAGCAGCATACTCCCACACTATCCAAAAAATGAGGCCAACAATCTGAATCCCCTGAACCGTGTAAAGTTTGCGCTCTACAATAGCAACTAAACCACTAACGATTCGAGTTGAGTCGCGAGGACATCCGCCAAGTCGTCCTCGCCTTCAAACTCAGGTCTTAAAACATAATGAGAGCTCATTGTAATGAAGATGTTGTGGCCCTGCAAAATCGGTGTGGCATCGGCCCTAAGATCTCTAGAGATTCTCCAGCTAAGTTTCACCAGGTAGAGGCGGTCCTCGTCGTAGTCATCGACAAAAAAACTGAAGAATCCACTCCTATTCACATCATTTTGTTTCCACTTTCCGGGATTTTGAGAGTCAATAAGCCTCTGAAGTGCTGCAAGAGCGGCCGGGTCCTCCGCAATATTGGGTCCGCCGTTCTTCTGCAAGCGCTTTGGGATCGTCGCTCGCGAGTTTGAGTGGTGCGAAATGCACTCCATGCCTGATTGTATGCACCTCCTGGAGCTGCGTTCCAATTTTCAGAAAGATGAAATATAAGAGGCATGCTCTCGGCATCGGAAGAAGCTGGGAATGAGTGACCTGTCAGGTCAAAATACAAACAACGACCAACAAGTGCGCGTTGGAACTACCTTCCACAAGGCCGGTGACATAGGCGAGCAGTACCAGATATCGTTCACGATCATCAAGTTTGGAAATAATGGATGGCATAGTGGCAACTGTTATTTGAATTATGAAATCTACGTGGCCATCAAGTGAAGTAAAGCCCCTTTATCTGAGACAGGACCTGTCAACTTGGGATGCGTCATCACCCCACGTTATTAGGCCGTTTGGTTACGCACTCCCAACATTACTTGGCTGCTCCAACGCCAGCCTTACACCGCCTTCATAGCTCATATGCTTTTATATTGGGGCACTCATTCTGAAATTTACGGCATGATATCCAGTGGACACCTATCACAACGTAGAACACCCATCGATACAAGTTATAGAAGAGGTGCGCAATCACGGCTCAGTAGATCGACGACCCACCTATCTCCAAGGACCGATGAGTAGACGCTAGACGCAGGAATGGACGGGAATGGCTTCCCTCACAGAGGACGAACAAATAGATATTTGCCATAGGATCTAGTCGGAGTGATCGCACCACAAGGTCGAGTGGAGTGCAGCTCCAGCTCCTATCGTCCATCCCATGCTCAGCTTCCGAGACGGCTACCGTTTATCTTCGTCCACCTCACCATGTATCCGAACAAAGTCGTATCGCCTTACGGTAACAATCCGTTTGAGAAGCTGATTTCTTTGCTTCGTGGAATTGTTTGGGTCGCCATGGCCATTACCCGAATAGTTTTGCTAAGAATGTAGCCGAGATTCATGGTCTAACTATTTCCATCTATGCCGTGAAACTCTAGTCGCAGTAGCTCATCTTTTAGTCACTGTAGATGCTGCTGATATAGGTCAGATTTCTAGTTATCCTGCATGATACAGTTTTTCGGTTTCAGTTTGGAGATGACCAAATGGTGGAAGGAGCATGGTAAGGCCCTCATTTATACATCTTTGTGCTATTGCTAAGTATATTAGAAAGGTTCCAAGTAGCCGCAACTCGATCAATAGAACGTCGTATGGTAGCGATGACCCGCTCTGAAGCGTTTGCCCTTCCATACTCGCTTCCGCAGACTTCACCACACCCAGCCAAGGAGCGATGTGATATTATGCGCCCCTCATCTCCTCAGATAGCTGATAGATCTGATACGGAGCCAATTCAACGTCTCCAGGATGCGTATTGATCTAACAAAGCCCATACGGACGCCTATCTTGCCCCAAATGCGGGAACACTATGGATGATCCTATATGCAAATAAAATTGCCAGCGGCAATGAAGGCTTTTCGGATATTTTGGCAGTAGGAACTGCTCACAATGCAGACGCCATTATGCACGTGCAATGATGATCCATGCAAAGTATAGTTCCCGCATAGGAAACATTATGTACAGCTTTAGGAAACATCAAAGAAGAAGGATGAAAAGAAGCGCAAGGGGGTTGATGGCCTGCAGACTGCGAAAAAGGCAAAATGCCAGACAGAACTAAAAGGGCCCGATTGCCATATACGATAATATGCTTCCATTCTCCGTTTCCCTCGTACTTTGCATACAGTGCATCGAGCGCACTATAAGGACTTTAAATAAAACTGATGTCACCAAATAGTTACGTGTTCGTACTTCCATCGCTCACTGAAGCACTTGGCATGTCATTATTTGCTTAATCATATGAGCTGCTCAGATTATAGAGGTAAGATATTGTCATTTTGACTACTGCATTCCTGCCAGTGGTTGACCCAGCTGAACACATCCAGTTCGAATGCAGGCGAGATAAGAAGCTTAGTTACGTGAACACGGTAATCACGTGAAATCTGGGGGGCCAGGGGTGGTTCCGGCGGTCCATCAGATGGTTCATCTTTGACGAGAGAGTCTGTGGTCTGCCTCTCTATACACTCTCTAGTTTGCTGAACAATGGGCTTCATCGACAGCGTTCCGGTTCTCTCTCAGATCAAGTCAGCGGTGCAGGCCGCACGTGGAGATCTCGAAGGCGCCAGTCGAACCCAGGAGAAGTTTTCGAAAGAGTGCCCTATCATTTCGCAAATGCGCTCGTTAACCGAGTCGGCGATGGGAAACAGCGAAGCGGCTCTAAACACCCAAAAAGAGTTTTTACAAGGTCCAGGAATGATGCAGGCTTCCATGGTCGTCGGAGCTGCCGCTGCACCTGCTATAGTATCGGCGGGTATTGCGGCAGCAGGGTTCGGGACGGGGGGAATTGCTGCTGGAAGTTGGGCTGCAGGATTTATGGCCTCATATGGGGGGAATGTTGCAGCTGGGAGCGCTTGTGCGATTTTACAATCTGCGGGGGCCGCGGGTTTGAATGGAACCTTTGTGGCTGCTTCTGCCGCAATCGGTGGGTTGTTCGGGACAGCAGGTGGTGCCGGGTTATCGGCTGCTGCAAGTAATATTGTTAGAGACGACGATGCGATGAAGGAAAAAGTGCAGGCAGAAGCGGATAAAGTTGGTGTCAGCAAAGATGGAGATGAAGACGCGGATAAAGTTGGTGCCCCAAAAGATGGAGGTGAAGGCGCGGATAAAGTTGGTGTCAGCAATGATGGAGGTGAAGACGCGGATAGAGTTGGTGCCCCCAAAGATGGAGGTGAAGGCGCGGATAAAGTTGATGTCAGCAAAGATGGAGGTGAAGACGCGGATAGAGTTGGTGCCAGCAAAGATGGAGGTGAAGGCGCAGATAGAGTTGGTATCAGCGAAGAGGAAGATGCAGCAGCGGATGGACTTGGTAGCAGCAAAGATGGAGAGGATGTCGTCACCCGCTGATAACGATGCGATAGTTTTTACATACCGGACTACTTGTTGTGAGAATGCGAGAGGCTTGTCTGGGATATCGTACACAGATGAATATAAATTGTATAGGGTTTATGGCCCTGCTTGGGACAATCCATAACGAGTTTTTCTATCCTATATGACATGTGAAGAAAAAATCGAGCGGAGTGAAGGCTGCAATAGTAGAAACCTTCTGCCAGATAGCGTCATGTTCATGGTACATTCAGTTCAAAAATTCAGGACCCTCATGCTCTAGGTACGATCTCTCGGTACTCGGAAACACAGGCTTGCGCAAATAATTCACTCATAGGCAAGAATATTCATTCTCCACAACAACTGAAATCAGAAGCTGCTGATTTATCTAGTGGTCTCCATTGTAGCGAACAGTTGCCTGCCATGTTCCCAATGTATCACTGGCATTGCATCAGGTCTGTTAAGGATCTTTGATTGTCGATACGAAAGCGAATACGCTGCGAATAGGAAAACCAGGTAGAACCAAACGTCAGCACAGATGCGGGAATTCACCAAAATACCGAATATTTCAAGTCATCTACGCTTCGTAGATGACGGATAGCCTGCTTCATGAATTTGCCTGGCTTTGCTGCTATCCTGTTGACTTTAGTTCCTTGTAGTGACCCATGTGAACAATGGACTGTAACAGGGTCAAAAAAATATCTCATTGGGATTGCCAAATTCATTTGGGACCTCATGAGATCCATCTCAAGCAGCATATAGCATTTTGAGATAATCGCTCATATTCATGCCCAATTCATGCCGACAAATGAAGAATCCTCTGTTTATGTCTATCCATTGCGTCCATCTTTTGGAATCACTTTATACCTCTCAATCAGTGAAGAACTTATTGATTTCATTACGTTGAGAACCATGCTAGTGATTTTTTTGCAAGTGTAACTCACAAAGCTATTGGTTATTTGAAATCTTGTCTCAATTTCTGTCGATAAATCAAATCTCTTCCCAATTCCAAAATGGCTTTGATCGAACGATCCGCTGAGCATTTCGTCATGCAGTTGACATGCTTGCTTATCAACGAATCTTCTTTGGTGCCTCCTCAAATTCGCGGAAACTGTATTCATGTGCACGCTCTAAGCGTTGAACAGTGCCGCTCACAGTTTTTTTCCTTTCTACTATAAGCTGGAAGCACCGTTCTTTATGATAGCTTTCGCTGTTCATTTTTGACTATCTTGCAAGATATTCCGAAGAAGTCGCTGTGGTTTTTAAAGGAAAATCCGTCGACGTCTTCGTTATCGATCATTTGCGTGTTTGTAAACACCTTTTTTGATTCCGCTATTTTCGCATCTCGTGTGCCCTCCGGCATGTTAAAGTTACACGTAATCTTCATCATTCCAGGCATTTGGTAAATGACTCTGTCCGATCAGAGCTGGTCCGCGCCCTCGGATTAATTTGCCGAAGCAGAACATTAGATATCATTTTCCGATGCTCCTTCGCTCCGATATTCTTCAACCATTCCTGCACTATGCTCCAAGTGTCAGCAAGCTGTCTGTTTTACCTTTTAAGAATGCAGATAATGCAGGAGTGCGCCTTGTAGCGTCAAAGATCACATGGTTTTCCCGCCAAGGAAGAATACGACCCGTTTCTCGAAGAAGGTCACCGAAATAATCAGTCAAAATATAGGACAGTTAGCCGCATCGAACTTCAACTTTAGGTTCTGTTATAATACGAATAGACATTGCAGCAGTGGCTGGACATGATTCATTTGACTCTTGTCACGCTTACATTTCCGTTGCTCCCTGATCGGTCAGAGAAAATGAGCAGCTGCCAGTCATCTGACGTTCATGAGCTGCAGCCGTTTTCTACCAGCACATGAACGTCTCTTCCGTAGGTGGCAAGCAGAGTGGAACCCTCATGTGTCCAGCAGAAAAGCTCTCGCCGATACATGACGTTCTGCGTGACATGCTTCCAAGCAGCACCTATAAGCTTCCCTATTTGATGTTTGCTGGACAATCGCCCAATCTTGCCACAATGATCTCAACAAAGAGACAGCATTTCAGCTGTCATTTGACCTTGCTATCGCCCATATGACCATTTACGGGTAGCGCCATGGGATATTGAACGAGAAGCGTTGTTCAAAGGAGTAATACCATCCGAAACCCCTGTCAACCTGAGGTGTTTGAGGATATTTAGCAGTTATCAGGGTGAAGAAATCATTGTTTTCGACCAAATAGGATTCTGGTGTGCAACAGTTAATGATAAGGAGTGAATTCTACCGTGTTTGCTCTCGCTCTCTCAACCATGGGTATTGGGAAACGACGCATCGGGAAGTTACCATCCTGTCGTTAACCCGTTAAGGCCGCACCGCTCGGCGGCTGTGAGTTTTACTGTCTGCTTCTAAGAACGGCTTCTCACAATCGGAAGAGGGAATCGCTAGCATATGACTTGACAAGACCTGATTCAAGCTCGAAATTAACAGGACCTCATCGACCTAGCATACTGTGAGTAAAGTGCATTTTCGTCCGCGACCAGGGCGCAGCCGACCTCACAAGGTAAAGACCATTGGTCACGCGAACGAGTATCTGGTTTATATCGGTCGGTTGAAGAAGTCTGGCCGCTTCCGTCATCCTTCATTCATAAACTTTGAAGATCTTGGCTTATTCTTGGTGGGCGATGCTGACTCTTCTCCACGGTTTTTCTTCCACTTGCTTACATTCTCTGTGAGAAGACAACAAATGTAGATGGTTTTCTAGCTTGATCCATGACAGCATCGCGAACCAATCACCTCCGATCGACGTTCTGAAATACCGCTTTGCTGAGATCGAGGCGCGATGGAGCGTCAATGTGAAGACAAACCCAAAGATCTATAAACCTATGAGGGCTCGGAATCAACAGCAGACTCTGGTGAAAGAGAGAGGAACTAGAGCAACATAGAAGCACGCAGAATTATCTTTTTTTCTTGGGTGGTGGATCGATTTTTAGGCTTTTTCAAGAGCGGAATCCTTGGGGTCGCGATCGCCCAGCCTAGCGACTCCCTGGCAATCTCTCAACCTTCTCCCCTCCAGACCAATGCACTGTTTCGTGAAACATTTATATACAAACCCACTGCGGCCAACGCTCAATCCGATCCATTCTCACCATCGCAAACTCTCTCGACGATTGCGATTCCCTGATTCCCTGTATCATGAATGAAGCCCAAGCTAACATTTGGCTTCAGGGGGAAACTCGTGCGTCAGCAGGGATTCCACACGTCGAGCAATTAGCGCGGTTTATTACCTCTATTGACGTGACGACAATGTCGTAGGGGAGGAGACAAGGAGAAAGGTGGTGGATTTACTGAAAGCTAAACAGAAGGCAGAACAGCAGATACAGCTACTTATTGCGCCCGAAACGTTGGAGGACGTTCGGAATGTTTATTCCACAACCCGGTTAACTACCATGCGGGGTGTAAGCCGGTTGATCTGTGTCGTACGTTAATGCCTCAAAATCGGCAAACCAGGAGCCGAAGCCAAAAAGGTCCCTCGGACCCTCGTCGAGCTACGACGACAGGTTCTTCGTGCCGGACGGATTACGATATGCGAGCTCGAGCGCATGACCGCGCTGAGTCCGTTAACCGAGAGCGAAAAGACGAGACTGGGTCTGGCAGAACATATTGCTGCAGTGCGAACGGAGTCCTACACACCGGGTATGGCCCATTATGCGCATGTTGCCGGAAGGTACCGAAAAAGTTTGCGTCTGCGACTCCAGTTAAGCAGAATGGTGGAGAAGTTGGGTGTGCGGTCAGAGTGCGCTATGTATGCGAAGAATAAGGCGGAGGAGCTGGGGTTGCTTTCAAGGAGAAGAGTGAGTGAATTGGGTGTCGAGGCCTCGAGAAGGTTGAAAGAGGTTGATGTGTTAAGGGTTTCAGGGGGCGCGATGGCTTTAGTGGATGAGGTACGACGGGCTTTGGTCAAAACGCCGCAGGATGATTTAGAAGGGGAAAACGGAACAGGCCGTTGCTCAATCAGATCAGTTGGAAATGGCGCTGGCTTTGGCGGAGAGCAACATAGCTTCTGATTGGGATGAGGTGTTGCCTGAAGGACTGGTCAGAGCGCATGCGCCGGATGTGTAATAGACGCTACAGAACTCGACCTGGGACGTGCACTACGTGTCTGTAAGGTAACACGACTACCAACCATAAGCCGTCACCAGGAACCGGATGTGGCCTGGCAATAGATAGCAAAGATGGCGACGATGGTGATGGCCAATCACTCAGAAGACACGCCTTTGGTTTGGTGGATGGTCAACTGAATAGCAAAGGATATGATCGGCAACAAGACACTGGTCGGGAATAAGCCAATAACTTCCATAGTAACATGGCGTATTGTTACGGCACTCGCAATAAGGAATCAGCCCCTGTCCACAATTTATGCTTGAGCTGGCGTGTATCAGGTAGCAGCGGAAAACCCACAGGAGAGTAATTCGCTTAGAATCATTGGCAGAGGATGGTGTGAAGAGGCAACAGCGCAACTGCCTTATTCGCAGAAATGCACATGTGGACCCCGGGTGAAGGATCTGGCTGGACCGAGTTGGGGTAGAGAAGCTGTCCGTACATCTGGAGGAGGTACATGCTGTTTCTCGCTGATGCAGTGTTGGCGCTCAAGCCTGTCGCTGGATGGCTGGATACTAAGACTGCAATAAGTTCGCAACAGTTGGAAGAAGGTCGGCATAGAGTAGCTCAGATCAGATCGTCGACACGACTGTAAGTAGCTACTGAAAAATCTTCAACACTTAATTATAGACTGATTGGATATATTGGCGATCTGCCCGCCATCAACAGATCAGTCCGGCTGGAAGCATACAATCATATGTATAAGTGCCCCTCCAACCATAAGGACATAGTCTAGGTGTATGATAGCTGTCGCACAGTCATGTGGCAATCTGTTCCCGTCATTTCCTACCGTGCGAACCCATTAGATATCGGATGAGTGGATTTAGACAAACCGCTGTCGGCGGCAATGGGATTGTATCCAATATGGAGAAATAAGAAACCAGGTTTACAACAAGACAAAACACCGCGCACTTGTATTGGCGCCTAAGGCGATTTGGGAAAAGAACTAGTGTCAACATTTAGAGTATAGTAGGACGTGCTTAGGACGTGATCGTACATCGAATATCCTCTGGGCCTTCTATCTTCGAGCATGAATGGCATCAGCAGCGGATGGTACTTTGGAATTGCTCATACTTCAATTCTGATCATATACTGGGTGCTGCGTTGATATGACAACTGGAGCTTGTAGTAAATGTATTATCTCGGCGTCCTTTGGTCAACCAGTTATTCCTCTATTCCTCTTGGGACACTGCCAAGCACTACAAGCACTAGTCCACTTCATTTCCTATCAGTGCAATATCAAAGCAAAACAACTGACAGATTGCGTTTAGTGTGGACAACTTCAAAAGGCGATTTGTGTCAGTTGCTGCTCCACAAATCTTTGAAAACATACTTTATAAGCCATTCAAGTGTCAACTGGACCTCCCCATGTATTCATCTATCAAGACCATAAGAGATCAAAGCATGAGACAATTCGAGACAGAACGACTCCTCCTGCGCCAAGCTCTGCCCACTGACCTTGAAGAGTTCCACAAAATCTTTTCGAACGCTGATGCCATGACTTACTGGTCGAGACCACCACATACCACTCTTGCCGAGAGCCAGGCTTGGCTAGCATCAATGATGGCCGATCCCTCTGCCCTTGATTTTGCCATAATTCTCAAAAGCAACACGACACAACAAGGTCGACTGATTGGTAAAATCGGTGTGTATGCTGTTCCAGAGATTGGCATCATTCTCCACCCAGACGTATGGAAACAAGGTCTAGCATCCGAAGCTATGCAAAGTTTTTTACAGATCTACTGGACGCTAAAACCGAGAGAAGTGTACCTTGAGGCGGATGTGGATCCAAGGAATACTGCAAGTCTTAACTTGTTTAGAAAATTCGGGTTTATAGACGTAGGTACGGGAAAAGGGACTTATACGACGCATTTAGGACTATGCGATTCAGTATACTTGAGGTTGGACAGGCCGAATGGATTTTGATACTGAGAAAGGGAATCGCATTCAAGTCGACCTTGCTTAGAGATAGTAGAAATATTTCAAATAAAATTGTTTGAAGTCCGTCATTCGTCTCCTTCTGCAACTTGCACGAATATGTATATCTGTTGTTAAACATTTTAAATCATGAATCCTCACAAGGAAGATGTCGACAGATGTATTGTCGAAAATTGAAGTTCGGGAAGTTCATTTTCTTGTGTTTGCTGGCACACGGAAACGTTCATTTGAAGCCCAAGGGTTGACCAAGGGTTGAACCTGGCGAATCAAACGCTGAACCTTCTGTGCAAAGCCGCAACCAACTGACCAGTGATGTTGTCATTTGCACTGGTAGTTGTATGCTAAAACACCCTGTTACGACACGTATGTACATCATCATTGTAGCAAAGGTTGTAATGTTGCTCACTGTGTCGTCGCAGGTAACAAAATGAGCCTGAACGGGCGCATTGCGCTGGGAGCAAAATGATGGTTGTGCGTCTGGCTCCATGCAACCTACTCTTCCCGTTTCGTCCGTGTGGGACGTACATCTGGTCATGAAGTACCTACACGTTGGCGAAGCGCGCGCAGAGCAACGTTCGTTACTTGTAATATGTCACACGTGTTGAACGCATCGAGTTGCACGACGACGTTTTCTATACGACTTCCTTGATCATGGTGTTAATGACAGTACTTTTGAGGGAAATAGGCATAGGCTGGTGAAACCAGAAGCCCCAGGCTTAACGAAAGGACGTCTTGGCAAAAATGGCTGGGCGGACTGCTATAAAAAGGGAGCCATTCTCCTTCCTTCCTCTCGATAACCTGCACGCAGAACTTTGTAAACCTCATCTGATTCAACCCACCCACTATGCACGCCCAGTCCATCCTAGCCCTTGTGCTCAGCGCCCTCGTTCCTTACACACTTGCAGCCCCCACGAATGGGCTTACGGTGTGCCCCAACACGGCCGGATCTCTCACTGTTGACTCTTTGTCTGTTACCCCCCAGCCATTGATCGCTGGGAAAAATGTGACCATCACTGCTAGTGGAACTGTTGGCGAAGTCATTACAGACGGTGCCAAGGCCGTGCTTACACTCAGTCTGGGTATTATCCCCGTTCGTCGTGAGGAAATCAATATTTGTGAGAGCTCGGCGGAGGTTGGTTTGGTCTTTTTGTTGTGCTTTCTTTTTGGGACTTTAATCAACCATTTAAAACTAGGCTGGCCTTCCCTGCCCGATCCCCGTGGGACCAAACAAGATTAGCTTTATCCGCACTGTTCCCGATGCGGTTCCCGCGGTAAGTTTGAAGTATGATGACTTCCAACGAATGACTTTTTATTTATGGGACGTTTGTCCACCATTTGTTTCTCCACACAAAGGGCACCTTCCAAATGCGAGTCGATGCCACCAATGCGGACGGCAAGCGGATTGTTTGCTTCAACGGCCCGCTTACGGTTGCCAAGGCCTAAATTCAACACCCGAGAAGTCAGAATAAATAGCGCACTTGTATGATGTCGTAGTCATAGAGCTTACTTAGACTTACAAATGATCATTCTCGAAATATGACTTTGCTAGAAACGGGACGTGGTTTATCCAAGCTGCACGATTGGGCAATTAGATTTTCTCTTTCCTCATAATAGAGGAATGCATGGTGGTATATCAGTATACGAAGCGTCAAGCATGCTACCGTATGCTGAGCCTTTGTTGTGGCACATCAAAACTAGTTAGAATCCTGCAACTTTCCAGAGGACGGGCATCAGAGATCATGCAACTGTTAGAGATTGGGTAGGCTACGAAGAAGGAATTTAGCCAATCTTTTATCACAGCAATATTTAGCGAATTGAGAGTCTGCTGGCCGATAGTGACGAGCGTCTATCCAGCGGGGTGTAGTCTCCCGATTAGGTGAAGTAGAGACAGAATTTGGTAGCCAAGGAGTTCTCGCTCCATTAGCGTTTTGCATCCCGCGCAAATTAAGGTTCACCATTACGGCAAAAGGATTGATGGTTGCCCGTAGGATATCGCCGCCCAATGGATTCATTTGTTGTGAAAGAGAAATTGCTTTTTACGCGGAGTTAAGGTCGTTGTAAAGGTCCCGCAGATGTACACTTAATGACCCCTTGTTAACTGGCATGGAGTTAGACAATCAAGATCTAATTTCTTGTGCCGAATGTGCTGCTCGTGCTCGCAAACTTGTGTCCTTGACAGTACTGGCATCCCAAAGCATGACTTCAAAGGGTAAGAAGAGCGTTAGACAACGATTCAATGACTTTATATGGCCTCGGCCAATCTTTTAATACGCTATTGGCTACCCAGACCAATAGGACCGACAATTAAAGAAGCTACGCCAGCAAAAATACGATTAACTTCCTAGGTAAGTGCTTGCAAATCTGTCAAGAGTTTGCGCACCATCAAGGCCAGAGGCAGCAGATGTTCGGGAGCTGGCAGTACGCTACCCACATGGACTGCCATGCCCAGATCGTTTCGAGAGTACCAGACCTCTTTGTCCAGCTCGCCTAGCGCCGAATCAATGTATTCATCGATCTACCTCCATTTAGGATGGACAACTACTTGAGCGACAAAGATTATCGAGGATTAGATCACTGGAAATGTGAACCCTGGTAATGTATACACTGATCTATTAACATAATGGAAATTTACAAATAAAAAAATAACAACCCTTTTCTAAACCGAACATTGAATGTCATTCGTCGTGTATTTGGAGGCAGGTTCGCAATAGTTAACTCCATGGCCCCCCATCTGAGCAGGAGTGTTCAGATTGAAATCACACCATTCGGGACGATACAGAGTAGACAGGACGCCGTTCCAGCTGAGTGGTGACATGGTCAAATTGAAAAGCTCAGTCGCACGGGTTGACCATGCGACGAGACGGATGGGGGTGTCCGCGTTGCGAACAGTAGACTCGGAGGACCAGAAGCGCTCGGCAGCAGCGGCGACTCGAGGGAAAATGGCGTATTCTATAACATCACCTTACAAGAAGAGCCAAGAATTAGAACAGTATATTATCAGGCTATGTTTAAGCCTACATTTGATCGTCTCGCTCCACATTGCTGATGGGAACAAGTACCTCGTTAGAATCATCATTGAATAGTCGATTCGTTCTATCGCATGGAAGCTACGTGATTACTCACCAACTTCCCCGCCAATTACATTGGCTTTACCTACGTCAGAGAGCGCCGCGGTCGGGTTATAGTCGTACACAGTCTCCCAAGTCTTGAATGGGGCGCACCAGGTTGCTTGAGGGCCGCAGTCGAGATAGAAACTTCAAAGGTCCGCGCAAATCAGGCGGCATTCATTTGCCAAGCTTAAAGAGACGACTTACTGCGGATAAGATGCAATTACGGTTGGACCCACTTTGGCAATTGTATCTACCTCTGCTTGACTATGTATCTGGAAGGCCGCAAGTGCAATCAATTAATGGAAAATAGCCCCAAGTAGCCTTTCCAAGACACCAACCTCCCAAGCGATCGTTATAGCATCGGCAGGTAACGCTGGCGTTCCTGCTAATCCGTAATTGATAATGGAATCACTCCAAACCAGCATCCGACGTTTGTTTTTCTTGACGATCTCGGCTATGCGGTTTTGGAAGGTTTGAATGGTTTGCTGAAATCTCTTGGGACTCCCTTTGAGACCCCAGGAGTTGGCGTTAACCTCGTCGGCCCCGGTGCCAAGATATGGGCTAGGAAACCAGCTGCGGAAAAAGAAAAGCTCGAATATTTAGCGGCGCCCACTACCAATGTGAACAAGACTCACGCTGTCATGTCCGAAAGAAACTGGCTGATCAGCTCATAGCTACGTTCGTTCCATGGGTTTATTTGTCCACAAGGCGGTTGGTTGCAGAAGCGATCTGCCTAGGAATTCGAAGAGCCATGAGTAATTGACACCGTGGAGTAGGAGTCTGTGCGTACCCAACGACCGTTGCATGCAGTTGTGTCATCATCTTGACCGTCCCAGCAAACGTGATTTGCTCCCATAACAATCTCAGGATAGGCATTTGCCCAAACCTATCATCTCGTGCGATCAGCATTCACATAGCACCTATCGTACGCGATTCCTGCCGACCGTTGTATGTCCCGGAAAGTCAAATTCTGGGACAATCCTGACTCCTCTGGCGAATGCGTGCGCGACGAGCTGCGCAATGTCTCTTTTGGTGTAAACTTTTAATGAACCATCTTTGTTCTTGTATGCACCGACCCGCACAAGTTTTCGGTCGTCGAATTCCCCTATGGAAGCGTAGATTGACGTCAGATAACAGATATCCCTGAATCATAAGCAAGAGAAAGTCTTACAGTCCAATGGAAAAGACTGAGAATCGGTAGCATGGAGATGGAGGACGTTGAGCTTTGGGCAGGCCAGTTAATCTAGGCAACGGTATTGGAAACAATCGAATAAATGTACCTTTGAATAAGCCATTCCGTCAATAATTTTCATAAGCTGGGTGGTGGAAAAGTAATTGCGCGACACATCGACTAAGAGACCTCTCCAAGGAAACCTTGGCTAGCTTGTTTGAGTGTAATAAATCAGCTGATGGAGTTTGTCCACATCCTGTTACAGCCTCTCACCGCATCAACAATGTCAACACCAGCGGGTAGAGCACAGGAACCGTCGGCTTCTCGGTACGATAATTGCGTAAGAGTGGTGCTGGCGGCAATCACACCAAAGCCAGTGCGGGCCGTGATGTGAACACTGGATGCGCTGACGCTTAACCGGTAGCTCTCGTCAACCTTCTCATCAAAGCAAACTGGAAGTACACAGG